TAGTAATGAATGGTCTTTTTGAATTTGGTGAGGTATGAAGAGTAAAGTGTGGATGGAGTGTGAAGTGTGAAGTGTGAAGTGTGAAGTGTGAAGTATTTAGGTAGGTAGTGGATTGGGGAGTGGAGTGGAGTAGAGTAGAGTAGAGTAGAGTAGAGTGGATTGGATTGGATTGAAGAGTGAAGAGTGAAGATGGAGAGTGAGAGAAGCGGAGGAGTAAGATGAGTGAAGAGAGGAATGTATTGATTAGATAAGCTAACCTTGGAGTTGATGGTTTTTGTGAGAGTGACTGTGGCGGGGGGGGGATATGTGATGCAGCCCGGTACCTAGCCCCGGGGCTTCAAGTTAGTTGTGGCTGTGGTTTTGATTGTGGCTTTGGCTTTTGGGCGGAGGCAGGTGGGTGGGAGACGGGAGTACTAGATGTATCTTACTGGCTCGACTGGTAGATAGGACTCAAAATCGTGATAAATAAAGTCTTTTTTTATGGGATATGGGTGAGATGAGTTTGGTTGTGGGGGTGAAGGGAGATTTCTTTCGAGATGATGTTTACCTAGCTGGAGGTCATACATACTACCTATATACTGTACTTATTTATCTATCTGATGGCTATATGGTCGACATTTCAATAATAATAGCTAACTAGATGGATATTGAATTGGATAATTCGGAGAGATGGAATTGGAGGTCTCTAGTGGTGTTTTTAACATGATTGATGATAAGATGAAGATGTAGATTTAATTTCGAATTATGATAACATTTACCATTTCTATAATATTTCTATTCAATTCAATTTCTTCCTCGATTGGATTACTTGTGTAGTGACTTCTTTACATTTTACTTACTCACTATTTGATGCATAGACCAACCAATCAGAAATCAGAACGAAACACCTCCATTTCCATCTTCCCAATCATCATCAAAAATTCTTCAACGACGTGTTTATCAACCCACGACAAGAAGCACGTCAATTTACGTACGAACAAGTCCCATCCATCAATGCCATTGTACCTATCAAAATAAGGAAAAGAAGAAGAGTCTGAAACAAAAGAAATATTTGGTGAGTGATTTGTTCAGCCCCCCCTGGGAAACCACCAGCCACCACCTCACCTGGCATCCATTACCTAGGTATCTTCCATTCTCTGAGATATTGATTGACAAGGTTGAATTGATATGACAACACATCTATGGTTTGAATCATTTATTTGGAGTAGAGATGATCTAGAAAGATGTACCTAATGATGTCCAGATGGATGTGGCTTACTGATTGGTTGGAGATTTTGTAGTTTCAACCTTACCTAGGTATCCTCAGATATCTATCAGCCTCAGAAAATACTATCTATCTATCTCAATCCATTCATTCATTCAATTCAATTCATTTCATTTCAGCAAGGGATCTTTTACACTTTTTGATTCCTCTCCACCCACATATACATACATACATACATACATACATCATACATACATACATACATACATACATACATACATACATACATACATACATACATACATACATACACCCATACATACCTACTACACACACCCATACATACCTACTACACACACACACCACCCACCCACCCACCCACCTACCCAACATTCCAGCAAAGACAAAAACACATACACATACACACATACACACATACACACATACTTACATACATAAATACATCACCAGAATCACCAATAGATTCAATCTATCATGGAGGTATGAAGAATTTTACTTATTATTATTTCATATTGTTTTATCGTGTTTTATCGTGTCGTATGGTATTTGATCGTATTTGATCGTATTTCATTCCATGCATATTCTATATTTTACCTTCTCCCTCGTTCCTTTTTCCCTCTTCCCTCTTCCTTAATATTGAAGATGGGTTGGGTTGTTGGCATTCTTTGCGCTACCCGGGCGTGTGGTTCTTATCATGAGTGGTACCAATATTGGATTTTCTCTCAGGCCACCATTTTTTGTCTCTGCTTTTCCATCTTGGATTGAAAATGTGACGAGTGTTGGCTCCACTAGGTGCCCCTTTGCATTTTCTCTTTTTGCTGGTAATGCGTCTTGTTTTCTTCTTTCTCTTCTTCTTCTTCTTTTCGTCAATCTGGTGGTGTGGTCGCACTTATCTCTTACATATACAAGGAAAGTCGAAGTTTCAATGATATCAAAGGAGTTGATGTTCATTATTGTTGGCTTTTCTTGTTGCCTTATTCTATCATCCTTTACATCCCTACATATATTGGAGTGAAGGATACATAATCCAAGATTCATATTCTCTTGACGAGTGTCACCCCAAGGATTTCAAGAGAATCATTCTCTCACCAAAATTCTGTGCATACCCGTTTCTAGATTCCTCTATACAATTTCGAATTTGGAAGACCGAGTACAACTTGGTACTTATCCGAGACTTTTGTATGAGTGTCAGTCGTTGATGTTGGACAAACAAACGGTGGAAGTCGACTTGGAGTTTGGATTTGTACTTTGGCAAGGCTGGTGGGATTTAATCAGGAGTTGGGATTTGAATGATTGTTGTGTTTTATTGTTCCTTGGGTATTGATCTTTTTCGGCAAACAATATCTCACCACATACAAGAAGCAAATATTGGGATTTCATTCAGCTGATATCACATTATCTTTTTACCATTTCATGTTATCACATCTTTTCTATCACTTAATCACTCATTTCTGTATTACTCATTCGCAAAGTTGCACTTGTTACTTGTACGATATTTATTTTATTGTTTCGTTTTAATATTAGTCAAATGTCTACTTCTACTTCTGTTTTACAAGTAGGCCGTAGACGTACCCAGGAGAATCAAACCTATAATGGTCCTCCTAGAATGGGTCCCGTTCGATATATTAGTCCAGCATCACTAAATCTTGAATTTCTTCATGAACAGAATCGTGCCGCTCTTCAAAAGAAGGATGCTACCAAGGTAGTTGATCCAGCACCTGGTGTTGCCGCAAAAGGCAAACCTAGATTATTATTGATGGGTCAAAGAAGGTTAGTTATGATATGAGATATCAGATTTATGAAATTGTTTACTAATCTATTGCAGATCTGGAAAATCCTCGATATCTAGCGTTGTATTTCATAAGATGCCCCCAAATGAAACCCTCTTTCTCGAATCTACCGCAAGAATTCAAAAAGATTCCATGCAGTAAGTTACAATAGATTCTGTTATGATGGTACCTACTAATATGCTCAAGTTCCTTTATGGATTTCCAGGTTTGGGATTTTCCAGGTCAAATCGATTTTCAAGATGCTCAATTCGATGTTGATGCGATCTTTGGTGAAATTGGTGCTTTAATTTGGGTTATTGATGCTCAAGATGATTACTTGGAAGCCATTGCTCGTCTCAACAGCACCATTTACAACCTTCATCAATCCTTCCCAAACATTAACATTGAAGTGTTTATTCATAAAGTTGATGGTCTATCAGATGATTATATGCTCGATATTCAACGAGATATTATGCAACGAATTCAAGATGAACTTTCGGATCAAGGAATGGAAAATGCACCTGTCAATTTTCATCTCACATCTATCTACAATCATTCTATCTTTGAAGCCTTTAGTAAAGTCATTCAAAAATTGATTCCTCATCTTGCAACTCTCGAAGCTCTTCTCAATGATCTTTGTCGCAACTGTCGATTCGAAAAAGCATACCTCTTCGATGTTCTCTCCAAGATTTATATCGCAACCGATTCTTCTCCAGTCGATATGCCATCCTATGAAATCTGTAGCGATTATATCGATGTTATCGTTGATGTATCGGAAATATATGGATATCAGCGATCTCCAGAATATATCACGAAATTAGAAGGACCACCATGGAATAAGAAATTGGAAGAACAAATCGCATGTAAGGATGCGGAAAGTGTGATTGTCCTTACGGCGGATAAGAGACCAATTATGTTGAGAGAGGTGAATAAGTATTTGGCATTGGTGGCGATTATGAAGGAGGGTAGTTATGAGAAGATGCCGTTGGTTACGATGAATGTGGAGACAGTAGTGGATGGGTTGACGAAGGTTTTTGAGATTACGAGGCAGAAGAAGTAGGGGTTGGTGGGTGGGGTGAGATGGAGGGGTGGGTTTGGGTTTGGAGGTTTAGGGCTTAGGGGGAAGTTTGGAGAGGGGGGGGAGGGAAGTAAAATCTTGTGGAATGGTGGAATAGTGGGTTGAGATTATAACACTTGACATTTTTTGCGCAAAGTCGAATATTCTGTCATTTTGTGAAGAAAGGAGAAGGTGGGGGTGAAGACAAGGAAAGAGATAGAGAGGTGAGGTGAGGTGAAGATAGGGAAGAGATAGAGAGAAATTATGGAAGTATTCTATAGGGGTAGGGAAAAGATGAAAAGAGACTACCAAGTGAAACTGCAAGATACATTTGCCTTTGCATTTGTACGTGTACGTGTATGTGTATGTGTATGTGAGATACGATTTTATTGATTTTTGTCAAGACTGGATAGGAAATATAGATAAGTAGCATTCAATATTATACAATATTATACGATACCATACAAGATTACATGATATGATACGATATGATATGATACGATGAATAACGCAAGCTGTGAAATATTTTGAGTTCAAATCTTCAAATCTTCAATACTTCGATACTTTACAGAAAGCTATGTATATTAACTCCAGTGTTTACTGGAAATGAAGAACTTCGCTATTCATTATAATGATACAATGATATAACGATACCGCTTTCTACTATTAAGAGACATCACTCTAATAGTTAAAATTTCCATTTCATTTCAATCCCCATCTTCAGTTCGCTTCTTTAGAACCATCATACCCATTTCCAAAGTCTGGCTTTCGTTCTTGCGAATCTCGATTTCTTGGTCTCAATGAAATCATCCAATCGCACTCCCATCCCGATTGACCCTTTATTCGTATATTTTATTTGATACAATGTCAAGAGTACTCTTCATATCCATAGTCAAGATAGTGTAGCGCATGATGTATTAAGAGTATCTCTGTCCAACAAAGTATCCATCTAATGAAGCTGCAGAAAACCATAACGTTCACTCTGTTGAAGACAATGCTGTACCCAAAATTCATGATCCCTTTCCAGCATTTCCCGAATAGTACATGGTAGATGCCATTCTCTCCTTTTCGTGCCTGGATGAGCTGATCTGAATTGCATCACCAAATCATTTCCCCACTCCGTTTCCCATTCCCACGTCGTAGAACCCGATGAATTAACAGATGCGAGTCTTTGCTCTCTCATCGGTATATAAAAACGTAGATATTCTAACAAGTGATGTATAACCAACCCACTTCGTCTCACATGAGGTTCCTCGAACGCGATTGACAAAATGGGAGCAGCATGAACACTTGTATACCCAGACGATGCCGTGCACTTTTGACGAAATCGCTCGAAACATCGACGCATTGTTTCGAGTCGTTCAGCGTAGTTTACATACATGTTGATGGCGTCTGCGAGCGAGAAGCGTGGGGAATCCCTTCGGGGTAAAGGCCATGTGCCCACAAGTGAGAAATACAAGCGATTGCTCGGCTCGGGACGAAATAGCTTCACGGCTTTCAAGAGGCTTGTTCGCTCTGTGGATACTTGCAAATTATTACTTTTCGTGGAAAATCTACCAGCATGTCAGAAATTGCCATCGTCTAGAGAGAGTACGACAATTTGGAAAATTGAAGAATGACAACTTCGAAAGCAAAAACACGGACAGACTCACTCACCTTGGATCCTTCAAAGGGATTTTAAACCGTAAATTTTGAACACTCCGCAAGAACCCCACTTCTCTACCCCTCTTAAGATGATGAATACCCTGTAATTCATAAACATTATGCTTATAAAAAACCGGCAGGGCCTCAAAATATAAACCACAATCTCCCCTCAAGGCTCTGAGAAAATTTGGCGATTTTCCATGCCAAGAATCGTAGAGGACGTAGAAGAAAATAATCGCGCGCACTTTTGATGGGAATTTGTACAATCCATCGGGACGATGGGGGTTTGTATTTGTATTTTGGGCTGCTGTTCGGATGCCGAGATTTTGAGACGGGGAATGGGGATTCGTCTTTCTTCTTTCTTCTACGTTGCGGGAAATGGAGAGTCCCATTTTGGATGATGGATTAGTCTGTTGATGTAATATAAATTCGATGTTTGGTAATATAGATATGTTATGAATACCTATCTGAAGTTGTGATGTGTCCGAGTTAATGGATAAGAAAAAAGGGCTTACGAGCAACTCATATCTAAAAGGTTGCACTCGCAGATAAGATATGGAAAGAAGACATTACAAATGTAGCTCAAGTTATAGGAAATGGAAAAGAGCAAGAGCAATGGTAGTGAGTATATAAAGATCACAATCCATTCTCGTCGAAGTTTTGTGAAATTATATATTAGTATCAATGTGTTAATTTTCGCATATACACCATTCAATCCGTCATTCATCCCCTTCCTACTATGACCTATGCAATATCATCTTCATCTCCATCTCCATCTCCATCTCCATCTCCAACCCCTCTTCAGAATAGTGCCCAGCATTTCCCAAAATTTCCTCCGACCCTCCCCTTTCCCTTTCTCTCAAATTTAGTCATGATTTCTTGAAACGCCTTTAGTTTGAATAAACGCCAACTTGATTAACAGTCTGTTGGAGATACTATGTAAGATTACAATAACGACATTCATATCTTGAGAATGGAAATAGAATTGAATATCGATTATCCACTAGTATAACATACTTCTCGACTCTGATAACCAAGCCTTTGTAACTCCAGATCATGACTCCAGGGTATCAAAGTGACAATTACTTTCCTATAAAACGCCTCATATATACAAAGTAGTCATGATATCTTCCGTACACATCCCCAAACTCCATATCATACCCAGAAACATCTATCCACCATGTCTCCCCCACCACAGTCGAACAACATCAACTCCAACTCCAATTCCCAACCAACACCCCCCGTCAACGAATAATTTCCCGTCTCCTTTTTCCCGGTTCAAACACCAAATCCTCTACCAAAACCGTCTCCCCACTCCCCCCACTCTCCGCATAGACTCTATCCCTCGCCAAACGATCATTCTTCTCGCTCTCCTCGACGAAAACCTCCTCTCCTCTCTCCATCCCCTCATCACTATCCGCACAGTCCCAATTACTTGGAAGTGCAGAACGATACTTAGTTCCGTTCCGTCTATCGTATTTGACACCTGGTACTCGTCTCTCAACCGTCGGATGCGATTCCTCTCTTTCCGGACGCGAAACTGCAAGTCCATCTGCGAAGGTATTTTGAAAGTTGGTATCGATGTCTACATCTTCGGAATTTGAGATATATCGCAAATCACCCTCTGAACCGCGCTGAGAAGGATTTCCATACATTTCTTGCTTCCGGGCCCATGTGAGAATTGTGTTGAACTTCGCGACGGTATCGATGGGACATTCAAAACCTTGATCGTAAAGCCATTTCGTGAGATGATTTTCCTCCCTCGGCTCGTGATGAATGAGAGGACCTCTTTCCTGCTCCTCCTCACAGCGTTTCTTCATTTTAAGCAAACTATTCATCGGAATCGGTCTCCACATCCCCGATTCCTCGCCGATATCTTTCTCATCCAACAAGATAGGTAAATCGTCTCCACTTCCCTGTCTATAGATCTCTCCATTGCTATGTTGATAAACCCCCGAGGGCGGATCATTCACCCCTGTTCCCGGAAGTGGCGTTGCGAAAATCGAGATACAACACTTTGGATGCACGCCATACATAAACGAGCGACAGTGTCGAAATTGCCAGATTTTTCCCGATTCGTGGGACATGAGATCGCGTTGGCGCATGGCGGCGACTTCGCCTAGGCTTATTTCGATTCGCGCGAGACTTTTTCCGTGGTTGCCCCATTTGAGGACGCGGCCTGTGTCTTGGCCGCGGTGTTGCCATATCCAGGATACTTTGTGGCCGGTTGAGGGGAATTCCAGATATCCAGGGGTGCCGAAGACGGAATCGAATTGATGGATGGTCCATTCGACGGTATGGCTATATTTTTCCATCATATAAGCTGCCCATGTGAATTTTAGAGTTAGAAGAGCAGGACAAGAATCGGCGGGACCGATGAGATCGCAGATTAGAGCGAGCCATTGGGTGCGACAGCCACTGTTGACTGTGGGTTCGACATGGAGATATGTGAGGTTTTGCGCCATGCGGATTATTCGGGCTGTGCGGTCGAAGGATGGGGAGGTGGAGGGGAGACTGTGAGTTTGTTAGTTGATGCCCGAGATTGTACTTACTGAAATGAATGGACATGAAGTCAAAGGAAAGAAGAAGAACAAGCATACCCATCAATAGGACCTGAAGTCCAAGTAGAGAGTGGAACTTCAACATGTACTTTCTGAAACGTCGACGCCAATGACACAATTCTCGTATCCATAAATCTGACCCCACCACTCTGAACAAAACATCTCCCCAGCCAGTAATTTTTATAACTCAAGGAAAATGTATTCGTTTTGTAAAAGATAGTTAGAGCTTCTTTATAAAGTCCCACATCTGCACGTAATGCGGCAAGGAATTTTCGAGCCGTGCATCGATGACCGAGTTCTCCCCATATACCCTGAAGGAGGAGACGATAGATCATACGACGAAGCTCGATTGGAAAGGTGCGAAGAGATCTGGGAGATGTTTTTTCCTCAAGAAAAGCCATCTTTGTTGTTGTGGAGAGTGCCATAACTGAATTATTGTGGTTGATATGAAATGGAAATATTTGATGATTAGTATATTGTTTATTTCGAGGGCAGAAACAAAGGTCGTTATGGGTACGGTCGGAAAGAGAATGGACAGTCGGACCTGGTTATAGGCCGAGCCAGTGACAAGATTGATCATACTAAAACTGATATAAAAAGTCAGAAGTGAATAAGTGAGTGATTCAAGCGTATGTTGAGACGATAACAGTCGAGGCGATAGTGAAAGATGTAGTATTAAAGAGGCTTGAATGCCCACCCTTATGATAGGTGATATTCGGAAGAGAATACAATCAACTTAGATTGTGTTTATATATATAGTCATACATTACTCTCCCTTGACTTATTGTGCCTTCTTGATATCCGCAACCTTTCCCTTTGATACCTTATTATATCCTTGCCCTCTCCAAACCCTCAATAAACACCATACAATCCATAAAAAGCCCAACGAAACCACGCTAGCGGTTCCAATCTCCACCCAGCTACTCTTATTTAAATCTAATACTGGAACAGTAACTGTATTCGTCAGCCTACCATCAGGTACGGCTACTGGCGAGATATGATAGAACATAGTTTGTGGCCCAAATAGACCATCATAACCTAGATTGACCCTATCAAAAGGGTTACCCGAGAATTTGCTACCTTCATCTGCTGTACATGCCCAAAAAACTATAGGATGAGGAGTCTCTATAGATGTATATCCATTGGTGTTGTTGGTAGGAGATAGATATCGCAAATGAAGAGGAATTTCTGCCGTGAAAGACTGGGTGGACTCAGGTGGTGCGAGTTCAAGTAAGAGAGTAGAACCCCAGATATTCATTGCATAGTCTGGAGCTTCTAGGTCGACTGGGGATGTAACGTGACGAAGAGCTTTTAGGTTCTTAGATGCAAGGAACAGTGGATCAGATAACTGATATTTATCAGGAAAGACGGTACGGGGTAAAGTGAGATGTGTATGTAATGAACATTCCCGATCTGTAACAGGTGGTTCGCTGGAGCTGAGCATGAGTTGTAAAGTAGGATGAAGACCAGAGGGTTCCATGAAGGAAGAAGTGAAGAATGTGTCTGTAGTGTGGTGTCTAGCTGGGAAAGCGAATAATGTAGGAGACGGTTTTGAATCTTCGCCGACTACAGTCAAGAAGCCACCTAATGAGATTTCTTCAGGTTGCAAAGGTGTTTCGACCGAAAGTATACCGACCTCTAAACGATGATTCGGTGCTGTGTTTGTAACCTCAAGGTCCCAAGTTTGAGGTTCCCAAAATGCAACTATGTTCAATGCATGAGATATTGTGTCAAAATCTATATCAACGTAAGATGCATAATCAAGACGACCGGCTCTTGAACGACACTCTTTATCCGATTTACCGCAAACATTTTGCTGTATATATTCAATGAGCGTTGTGAGATTCTCAAGGGGTTGATAATATTGTGTTGCAGCATTTGAAGCAAATCGTTCCACAGACAATTTGGTAAAAGACTCCTATAATTATTTAGATGATATCTCCAGTTCATTGGCAAAGTAGAGCTTACTTTAGGAGATATACAATCAAGATTTCCAAATACTTTCTTCAGAGCAGGACATAAAAGATCACTACGTAGTTTTAGCATATGTGATGAATGGATATTTTAAACAAACACGTACGGGCTTTTGCTGTTTCGCTGCGGACTGTAAAACACGTGAAGACCTGGAGAAAGTCTTGACAATAGAGGTGAAGCTGCATCATATTGATTTGGACTGACCCATCGAATATGAAGTTCATGAGATGCTTTTAATACTCCATATATCTCTTCAGGAAGCTCGCTAAAGCTAAAGGTAACTCGATCCTCTCTCGCAGCTTTCACCCGTCCCGCGGTGAGAGAGTCTTGGGAAATTTTGATGAATTGGGGGTCAACTGCATCTTGAGGCTGTTGGAGGAAAGTTATTCTTTGCCGCATGATGATTGATGAGACTTGTGTGTATGTTTTGGTACTTGAAGTGAGGTCTAATAAATATAGAGCTTATATACTCGAATTAGGTCTCATATATGTTGAGTTGGCAAGTGCGTTCATTCATGTGATTTAAAGTGTTTCGGCAGTATAAGACCCCTGTTAGGCGGTGAACCACATGAGCGCAAGGCTGATAGATATCATAACTTCCGCCACCAAGGAAAATAGGTAACTTGCTCGTTACACTTGCCTTCCAAGGTTGAATGAATATCTATGTTGATGATCTGTCCTTTCTTTTGAGGATTCACTTAATTTTGCATCGCTTGATACCTTATTCTTTCCTCGAAATACCATGAAAAACAACTCTCAGAAGCAACCAAAATAATTACAGCAAAAATGCTCTTTTTACCATTTCTTTGCCCGGCTCTGCTCACCCTCCTCACATTTACCCCTCTCACCACGGCTGCCTCCAAACCCAAGAATGCCATCTTACTATCAAAAGTAAAAACTCTCACTCTACGCGACAATGCCCAGACATCTCATCGACGAGTTTCAGCTGTTCCACAGCTATCATGTAGCGGCCCTGGCTGTCGACATTACAAAGTTGACGTCATGCGCTGTACCAACCAAGGATCCGATTATTCTTCCGAAGATATTCAATGGTCCTGCACTGCAAATCTTCCAGAGGAATTTAAGCTAGGAAGTACAGATGTTATATGTGAGGGTTATGATAGCAAGGATGATGAATACGTGTTGAAGGGTAGTTGTGCTGTGGAATACAGGTTGTTATTGACGGAGGAGGGCGAAGCAAAGTATGGAAAGAGCTTTTGGGACGGTGGAAGTGGAGAGAGCTCTGTAGAGAAAGGAATGGGTTTATTATTCTGGTTGATATTTGTGGGAGTTTTGGGATGGATTCTTTACTCGATGGTTCAAAATTGGAGACAAGGACCCGCTAATGGTCAAGCGGGAAGAGCCGGGGGAGGAGGAGGTTTTGGAGGATGGGGAGGAGGAGGACCAGGAGGACCAGGCGATGACGACCCCCCACCACCTTATCCAGGAACTGGAAAACGATCTACAAGAAACTATGGTGCTACTGAACAAGCGTGGAGACCTGGATTTTGGTCTGGTGCGGCGGCAGGTGCTGCTGGTGGTTATTTCGCAGGAAATAGAGCGAATAGACAAAATCAAGGTGGTGGTAGCTGGGGAGGTGGAGGTGGAAGTAGCTGGGGTGCAGGTTCTGGATCTGGAAGCTCAAGCGCAAGCTCCCCCTCTACCAACACTCGGTCAAATACTGGATTCGGCTCTACGTCGAGAAGATAGTTACCCTAGCAATCTGGACGAGGCACCTCACCTCTAATCGCGCTACTTCCCGACGAAGGGACCTGATTGAAGAACAATGTGATGAAAGTTGGCGTCTTATACAATAGAGCTATCCAAATTTTACCTCCGCGAAAGTATCATGATTACTTTTGACTCCAGTCTCCTATCATTCATTCCATCCCGACCGCGCTAGACATACAATGCAACTGATTGACTGCAATAATAATTTCATTTTGAAAACATGGTTATTTCTTTCTATTAGAGCTATTTGATCTGCCAACTCTGCAGTTTTCCCACTGCATCAATAATCAAGGGAAAGAGCATACCCCTGCGCTGGTCGACCGATTTGCTATCTTAAAATACAAAGTCCATCGCTGTCTGCTTCTATTTCAGAAATTTTCCGATTGAAAGAAGAAAAAAGGACTTCATCACATATGATGTGAGGGCGCGAAAAAATGGTATACATGCGGACAAATTCCTTTACACTCAAGCAAAAGCCAGTCATCGCTCAAATGTGCAGTGCGGCACTTCGTCACACTTCCTGAAACAAAAATCATACAACTTCCCAATAACCTAAATTAAGTCCTTGTCTTGAATTCGAACCCATCATATTACATATGAGCGGTCATGACATCCAATTTGTCGAAAGGTTTAGCGCAATTGGGACACTTTCTCATACGGTTGGAGATTCTATCATCCACGCATGAATTGCAGAAGAGATGCCCACACGTCTTTAAAACAGTGTTCTTGAAATTTGCACGACAAACGGTACACAATGCAAGAGTCTATATTGTGTTAGTAATAGATCACGATAAACAACAATGATTAAGACCTACTCTGAGCATTTCCTCCTCCCCAGATTGATTGCTCAAGCTCTTCTGTTTCCATGTATCTCGATCTTTTTGAACCTGTTCACATCGAACCCGAAGTTGTTCATTCTCTAGCTCCACCGCGTGAATCTTTTGTTTGGTACCAGAGTTCGCAGAATCCTTGGATTTGAGAAGGTTGGTCAATTCCGCTGCTTGGTTCTTTAAGCTCTCACATTTGCTTGCAGCCTCTCTACTTGATGCCTCTAACTTCTTGTTCTCAGCCAAGATAGAGGCATTGGACTGTCTCATATCACTGAGTTGCTTCTCCAAATTGCTCAATAAATTTCGGTCAGATGTCTCTACATCCTTGAGCTGGGAGATAATCTCGGAACTTTTAGCGTTTTGACTCTTCAAAGTTCGAACTTCTTGGAGGCGAATATCCATATCCTTTCGGGCCGCAAAATATTTTTGATCAGCCTTGCTCTTTTCGGCAACCAAAACCGAAACCTTTTCTTCGAGAGCCGTGAAGTCCATAACTTTCTTGCTCGTCAGGGCCTGGACTCGCTTGTACGCGGACTGGAGGGCAGGTAATTCTTTGTTGATCGAGTCATAACCTTGTTGAAGAAGATCATACTTGACACGCAATTCTTCGAGGTTTAAAGAATCTATCTCCGGTCCTGGTGTAGGTTGGCATGATTGCTCGGCGATTTGTCTCAGACGTTCGACTTCAAGTTCAAGAGATCTGATACGATCATCCTTTGCTCCAACCAATTCTTTCAAATGCTCGATGCCTGCATCATCCTGTTCCTGTTTGGCCTTTCGCACGCTAATATCAGCAAGTAACTCATCTCGGGTAGAGCGAATTCTCGTCAAATCAGCATCCAGGCGTTGAAGTTGACTTTCCAGTTCACCAGTGGTCGTTTCGGCTTCGTTCTCTATTTGAATACGATATGCAGTCCGTTCGGCTTGTAATTTCTCAGCCTCCTCTCGCAATTGTATATTAGTGGCTTCGAGGTGATTGATACGTTTGATAACATCCTCATGTTGAATACGGAATTGTTTAAAAAGCTCAGTCCGAGCATAGTCGTCGTCCGAGGGTGCTTGCTTGATACTGGCCGCGGTAATTTGCTCTGTTAGTGATTTATTCTCCGCAGCCATGGCTTCGAGTTGCTCCTTTTGCTTCTCGACAACCGCTTGTGCCTCTTTATATGCTGATTGATTAGCTTCCTTATCTTCCGTTATTCCATTCGTCATTTCAGTGTCCACGCCATTTTCGACTTTAGCGCCATTAGCAGTACTGTGGAATAATGCCTTGGCCTCTTCTTTTCGAACCGTATCACTCCTCAGCCTATCTAAACGTTTCTCGGCCTTAACATAACGCAGCGATGCCAATTCGAGAAGCTCATTCAGTTCTTCTTTCTCGTTGCGGAGTCGGTCTACTGTGACGAGATATTCTTTCTGAGAAGCAAGCATTTTTGTAACCTTTGCTTGAAGATCTTGCAAGTCTGTCGAGGGTTTGCCATGAGCAGCTGCAACTGCAGTAAATATTTTGTGTAATTTTGATTTTATTTCTCTGCCTTTTGATGCCAGATGATCCGAGAAGGCTTTGATACCATGAAATTGTAAAGAAGTTGAGAAGGATACTATCATGCGTCAGCGTCAATTAAAATTACAGTCAACAGATAACAAACTTTCTGGCTTTTCCGCATTTGGAATGTCATTTTCTGCGAGCAGTGTCACTTCTTCTAATAACTGTCACCCGTAATCAGTTTCGTGTCCCAAATGACTGATAAGGGGCTTATCATACCTGTGTCCACCAAGCATCAATGATTCTCAGATGATCGTCATGATCTGTAGACTTCTTCTGTATTGTCTTCAATTGTGATTCCAAAGTTGCCTTCTCTCGTTTGTACTCGAGCATTTGTCGATAGATCGCATCTTTTTGGTATTTCTATAACGTGACATATCAGCCTGCCATTCCAGCCAGTTTATTCCTTGTTCGTAAAAGGGAAGGTGTATTGACTACATTGATGCGATGTATTGTGGGAGTGCGGGTATAGGCGTGAAGGTATGCAGGCTATCCATGCTGTTCACAGCAAGCTGCGCATTAGCAACAGCCACACAGATTTCAAGAGCAATCCCTAGACTCTTGTATGACGTTGATAGATGAGAGAATCCGACAAAATATTGATGAAGAGCGTATATGCGAAAGGAGATGTCATAAGACTGATTACATACCTCGATATCTTCAGACCAAGGCGCGGTATTTTCAGAATCTGCAGAGGCCTTTCCGGCACCGTTGGTAGCTTGTCTCTTGGTAGGGGGTGCGAGATCATCAGTGCTTTGGCCAGCTGCCCTCTTCCTGTCCTCCATCTTGATGAAGGAAGGGAGAGATGGAGCTGATGCGGCGACAGGCGTCATCAGATTGAAGAAGGTGAATGGTTCATAAGATCAAACACGATAGCGGATTCGACCAGATATGGGTATAGCGCAATAATAGGTAGTATCGAATGTTTCCAAATGTGTGGTATGATTGACCTTGTATCGTCGTTACGGGTTGTCAAGCTGAGAAAGTAAATGGAGGTAAAGGCGAAAGAAGTGAGAAGTTGCAAGCCGCCAAATCCAAAATGGACTAGTGTCAAAATTTAGTCAGAGCGGGAACCGGCTCCAGGTCAATGGAAATAATTATTTCAACCACACTCAGCATACCTAGGGATACTTTCAAAGGATTCCCATTGTTCATTCAAAGAGAAGGCGATATTTAATTTTTTTATCTATAATTTATATTCGACATTTGAGCAATTATCAGCTTTGAAGACAAACAAATTCTACCGCGACTCGAGCTACATTCTTTGGATCTCGCCCATCGGGCGCAATAAATTTCGTCAAAATGTCTTCCATGCTTAGAAAAGGTGGAAAGTCGTTCAAACCAAGTGCTCGCCCTCGACCAAATCCTACCAGACCGTCTTCGTCGCAACCTGCAGCGAGACCAAGTTCCGAAACTCAACCACAAGCACCAGTATCTGCAACTCAACCACCCATCCCTACACCCACATTGACTGAATATGTGGAGAGAGAACCATCCCAAACTACAATCTCGGAACCAACTCAAGCAACTCAAGACACCCCTCAGTTACAACATGCTCCGCCGGTCCAGCCTCAAATACAAATCATCAGCTCGAACAATGACACTTCCGCGACTATTAACAATACGGCTAAAAGAAAAGTTAGAGAAGATGATGTCGAAGGCCCCATTCCAGTTGAGCGACCACCTACAAAAGTCCGAAAATTGACCCCTCCCTCGGATGACGTGCAAGATTCCGAAACTAACGCGCCATTACAAACCGTCCCAACTGCGTCTTCGACTGTACTCAAAGAAGTGCTGGCACCTTCAAATAACCAAACTTTAGCGGAGCCAAGTCACAGTGGGCAGAAAGTTGTAGACGATGAAGAATTTCCTCCGATTAGCAATATAACTACGAATAATGCTACAACTGCAAAAGCTATTCCAGCAAGCCAACCTCAACCTTCGAATAATTCTACACCTGCGATTTCTTCAGACGTCCCGCGAATAAATACCACAATCAACAGAACACGAGCACCTGCGTCTACTCCCACACAAGTAATCGATGTAAATTTACAAACCCCACCCGCATCGTTTGAGGATGCCGATTTATCTGGAATGGGAGCGGGTGAAGCGAGTCAGACGTCTCATCTAGTCTCTACAGTAACTCCAACTTCCGAAGAAACACCTACGCCAGTCGACGGAGAAGCAGCGCCAGCTCTCAAAAAAGCGAGGAAGAAGCCAGCGCCAAGGAAGAAGAAGGTTCAGGTCGAAGATGGCGACGAAGCTAGAACTGGAGTCGAAATTCAATTGAATAGGCCCCGTAAGACTGGAGGATCGACACGAGAACGCAGGAACAAGGACGGCGAGGCACCAAAGAAGAGAAGAGATCGAGAAGTCACTCCAGAGGATGCGGAAAATGAAGTCATCGAACCTACGGTCATGAAGATGGCAGATCTTTGTAAAGATATTCGGATTGGCAAGAAGTTCAGTAGACATGACGAACTCAAGCTAAGGCATGCCCGAAAGAAGACTGATGCGCAATTGGCCGAACGTCCCGAACTTGCAGGTCTAATCAATAATGCGTCATCCGAGAATAACGCTGAGGCTGTTGACGCGCCAGCTGCTGTCATAAACAATAACGGATTACAGATGCGAGTTATCGACGGACAAATTGTACTGGATGACCAATCTATGCAAGTTGATCGACATAGGCAAGCACGAAACCCGGGTCAAGTGCTGGAAGAAATAGAAGAAAACGAATTCACAAGAGTAGTGAATTCAGGACAATACATGAAGCGTTCCGCAGCTGTAAGATGGGATTCAACTTCGAATGAATTGTTCTATCAGGGTCTTCGACAATTTGGCACGGCGTTTGAAATGATTGCTGCGATGTTTCCAGACCGCAATAGAAGACAAATCAAATTAAAATTTGTGCGAGAAGAACGCCAAAATCCAGCAAAAGTTGATCGAGCTCTCAAAGGGAAGACAGATGAGATTGATTTCGAAGAGTACACTCAGCTTACAGGTCAGAAATTCGAGGATTCAGAAGAGATCAAAGCAGAACAACAGCGACTCGAAGATGAGCACAATGCGGAGCAAGAGAAAGTTGAAGCTGCCAAAGCGGCGGCTGATAAGAGAAAGAAAGAAGCCATTTCCAAAGCTGGAAGAAGAGGCAATGGCGGTGCTAGCGATGGTGAGGATGGACCAGATTCACAAAAGGAGAACGCCGGTGCTGTTTTGGTCGGGATGGGAAGGCAAAAACCAGCCAAGTCCAAGAAGTCTAATAAAGCTTCTATGCAAGGTGGCGGGGAGGAGATAGAAATTCTTGGTGAAGTATAATGGGCCGGGTTAAGGTCGATTGGGCGTTTGAAGGATTAGACCAGGGACTGGATGTTCGATTTTCTTGCTGTACTTACGATAAAGGAATGGCTGGGTGGAGTTTATCTGGTCCCTTATACCCTGTTTGCATTATCATGCAAAATATAGAAGGATTGGTCCTTCGGTCATAGGTCTATGGGATAGACCGGATCACTATGACTTTATAAAGATAAATCAATGAAGCAACGAAACCAAGGAGATATTTTTGCCAAAATTTCACAGTTCATAGTTGACCCTAAGTAACCGTATTGTCTATGCCACCCATTTACTTTGAATACCACGTAAACCACCCACTAAGTAAACCTAAAAAATCCGTTTCCCTACCCTCCAATCCTCTCAGAACCCAATCTCCCCCAAATCTCACTCCTTCTTAATCAACTCCTCAAAGAGCGGTTTCAAAACCAACGCACTCTCCTTGGGTTCTCGTCTCTGACCCCCCTCATAATCCACATACGTAACTCCAAATCTGGTCTCGTAGCCCTCGGCCCACTCAAAGTTATCCATCAAACTCCATCCCAAGTAGCCGCGCACATCGGCGCCCTTTTCAACGGCGGATGCCATGGCGCGGATGTAGTCGCGGAAATAGTCGGCGCGGAAAGTATCTTTCAGGATGTCGGGGTAGGGGATGTCGTTTTCGCGGAGAAGGGAGGTGCCGTTTTCGGTTATGTAGACTGAGAAGGGGGTGAGTTAGTGGGGGAGGGGTGAGAGGGAATGGGTTATGTGAGATGGGTGGAGGGAAAGAGAGAGGGAGGGGCGCTTACTAGTAGGGAACCCGTATCTTTTTGAAATCCACAAGATCAAATCATGGAAACCTTGTGGATTAGGTCTCAACCAAACACTTTGGGTCTCTGGACCGATATTATCACCCTGTTTATTCTCAAACAGCAATTCCAAATTTCCTAAGAAATCATTTTCTTCCGGTTCCGTAGTCTTATGTCTGATGTAATTAGCAGTGTAGTGGTTCATGCCGTAGAAATCATTCGAGCCTTTCACCAATGCAATTTCGTCGTCGGTGAAAGTAGGGAGACGGTCTCCGAGTTGGGCGCGCATGGAATCTGGATATTTGCCGTGGTAGATGGGGTCTGCGAACCAGGAAATGCTGAATTCGAGTTTGCGTTCGGCGGCTTCGACGTCCTTGGGATCGGAAGTATCCCAGGGGTAAACACCATCACCTGGGGGAGAGTTAGTGTGATATTGGAGTAGAATTGGAGTAGATTAGATGTGGAGATGTATGCACCATTGAGGGTAATTCCGATTTGTCCACCATCTTTAGCTTTGAATTCTTCTCGGTAAATCTTAACAGCTGCGCCGTGAGCTATGAGAAGATTGTGTCCTACTGTCCATGGCTCTCTGCTACTGTCTCCCACATCACTCTTTGATCTATCACTCGTATGTCCGGGAGCGAACAATCCCGTGCTGTACCCCAAGATAGAAGAACACCACGGCTCATTAAACGTGATCCAATTCTTAACTTGTGGAATCGCCTCAAACAATACTCTTGCATAGTGAGCATAGTCCTTAACAAACTCTTCTTTGTTCAACAATCCCCCGTATCTCTTATCCAAGTTATCTGGTAAATCCCAATGGAACAGCGTTACGAAAGGGGTAATTCCTTCTTTGAGCAAATCATCCACCAACCTGGTGTAATAAGCGATACCTTTTGGATTTACCGGATCATTGCGACCACCCAGGGGAATGATACGAGACCAGGAGATAGAGAATCGATAAGCTTTTGCACCGGTGAGTTTGAGAAGCGCAATGTCCTCGGGAACTCGATGGTAGGAGTCACATGCCACGTCTCCGGAACTACCATCAGCAATTTTGCCGGGGATTTTGCAAAAGGTGTCCCAGATAGAAGGGCCACGACCATCTTCTTCAGGAGCTCCTTCGATTTGGTAACTAGTGTGATGTTAGTAGGAGATATGGGATCTGATCAAGGACAATATACCTCGCAGTAGCGAAGCCCCATGTGAAATCCTTTGGTAGAACTGCTTTACCCATGGTGTTTTCTTTTGAAATTCGATAATATTCTTGTAAACGCAAAAGATACTAAGTACTTATAGTATCGAATATAGAATTAGTTGCTGTGAGAAGGGGAACTACTCGCATATAAGTAGAAACAGAGCGGCTAATTGTAAATTAGTATTGTGTCATAACAAGCAAATGGAACTAACTCGTATCCCACCCCTCGGACCGTTCAGACCGTTATATAATTATTTCCTAATTGAGTGACTTTGATATCTTCCGCCCCACTAGATTATGGCGGGGTAGTAAATGTTTGAACCGGTTAGACGGGACGAAATTCCGACTGAATTCAATTGACCCAGTTCACGGGATTTGGTGTCGTTTTCGTGCCTGTGATTAGCTCGTGTATATACATACGTAGATGAATCTCGGATGTCAAGCGGATAGATGTGATAGAAACATCACAATTGATTGCAAAGAGCTATTTGCATTTCTTGGTATGGTAATCTTACATGTACAGTATTGGCACAGCCCATTATCTCAATTCTTAACAAATCCCCGAACTCCTGTTTGACATGAGAAGATAACTCTTCCGAGATTGTTGTAAGGATCGGCAACCTTGTTGTGAACTTGCAAAGCTCTCTCGTTTTGTGTCCATCCCAAACCCAAATCTCCATAAACGACATCATTTCTTGACTATAATCCACGGTACTAACCAAACTCGAACCCATACGATCGTAATTTATCATTTCACCCCAGAGGCATTAACTTGCAGATGCTATCCCATCTATTGTAGTCCCTCCATGCGAGAACCTTCACCTGGGCTTGTAGCATCTAACTTTCTCTTTCCAGTTATAGGTAACTGCACATCGCCATCTTCACCAGTCCACTCTACAATCTCCCATTCTACTTTGATTCGACCATCGTCGGCAGTTCTTCTACCTCTGCTTGTTTTCATTTTACCCAATCGGCTTCCTTCGACCAACGTCTCAAACCATGGTAGACCTCGCTCTCCTCTGCCGTCGTTCTCAGTATGTGGTATGACAGTCTCGATGGTTTGTTTATCATTCTGTGCGTCCTCGAGTGCTTCTTTAGGAAGTAGGCCCAATTCTTCGAGATCTCGCAGATCCGAAGAAGCCAATGATCCCAAAGTTAACGAAATATAATCTGCATGGTCTGCCGGTTCTTCCGTCCAAAAGGAGAGAGGTGTTCCACAAAAGCCACAGAAATGTCGTTTCGCATGTTGTTCGGATGGAGGAGTATAGGATCGTCGAATTATGTTGTGCGATTCATCATCGAAGAAGGCGTACGTCGTTGAGTGATACCAAGCTAATGGCACACGAAGCCATGCTGAGAGGGGAGCAGCCTGTGATCGTCCTGGTTGCGTGATATTAGCAACCGCCTTTTTGGTAATATAAGGAAGGGAATATCTCCAATTTACGTACGATGGACATTACTGCTATCGAAAAAGACTTGTGCGCCATCTGCTGAGTTATGTGGGATATGTATTGTGTATTTGTTGCGACCACAAGAACAGCCACCGTTAAGCTCACTCATACTGCCGAATCTGAAGCTACCCAGGTAAGGACTTAAATTAGAAATTCAGATCAGACGTCGGCGAGTCTTGATCAGTTATGTTAAAAATCGTATATTAATGAAGACGTTGCTTTTTATTGTATTGAGAAGAAGAAAGCTTAATCTGTTGTCCCGTCAATTTTAGAGTTGTATTAAAATTATGAAATATAATTGGTTTGTTGTTGGAAACATCTAGATTATTCGCAATGGTTCCTTCCCTCACCTCACCACCTAACTCTATGACATCGCTATGCAAGGTTTCCCCACAGCAATCACACATCAGCATAACGACAACGACAACATTGACAACATGAACATTCAGTTGTGCAGTAAAATCTTTCCTGTTATATTCGTATCCTTAAATTCTTCTATTTACAAAATTGATAATGGGTAAAGATCGTCATGTGGAGACAACATCGGATCTCACGTGAGTTTTTAAACCACATGTCTCACAACATTCATCTACTGTCTTAACCATTGCTATCCACATGCATGCTAAATTCCCAAAAATTGAACGCCCTCATCCATACACCACCACAACGCCAATCTATATTTGTTTGTGGAATTGCCGACAAGCGTCCATGACAAAGCAATATCGACCAAACAGTCCCAAAGTCATCCGCGACGGGTTCTCAAGTCCAAATCAATGATGTGGTCGGTTATCAGCTCGATCGCCGTCACATGATTCGAGATTTCCACCGTTGAAGGTTCGTCAGAGTCTTGCAATATCTGGAGCTGTTGATACATCTCCATCAGGTCTTTGCGCTGTGATACCGAGCTTTCTGTCCTTCGGTGGGCTCGATTAGCAGCAAGGATATTCGAAAGCCGAATCTCAATAGAGTCAAAGTACCGACGGCGGTCTGGATAACAGCTATATAGCTCTCTGAATACTCTTCTAGTAATTTCCAGGCAATCTAGCGGGATATACTCAAGCTTGAAGAGAGATTCGTCTGCTATGATGTTGCCATAATGGGCTGCCAGATTCCCCTCGCTTCGCAGCTCGCGGTTGAGCTCAGGGCGATCCCTTTTATTAATGACGAACTCTTTGGCTTGCTCGAGGAATCTTAATCTAATTGCAGCACCCACCAACACCAGCGGGTTTTTAAGAGTGAGTTCCTGCACCAGCTCGTTAACCTTCGACTGAAGATTTGCTTTTTCCCCCTCAATCTCCTCAATCTGAGTTTGAAGTCTCATGTTTTCTTCCTTAGCTTCGAAGTAGTCCTCTACATCCACTGCAAGCTCCAGCTGATGTTTGAGACTGTGTTTCGATCTTTGGTGCATGACGCATTTTTCTGTCTCGTAAACTAGTTCATGCAACAATCTTGTGTTGTCCTGCTTGAGCGTCGAGTTCATCTCAGAGAGAGCTGTTACCTCCGTCTTTAATTGAGCATTTTCCTTGACCTTCTCAAATAGCTGCCTGCAGAGTTCATTCAACTCCTCCGCGTGTTGATCTTTCTGGGTTTCCAGTTCTTCTTCTTGTTCTTCAAGTTGTCGGGCAACACTATCCTTTAGTGCCTTCACTTCTTGTCGAATGATAACAAAGTTTTCTGCCGCCGTCTGAACACGGAGAAATTTTGCGGCGATATCGCAGTTAGAAAGATTGAGTTTCTGCTCTAACCCGGCGAATAATGTAGCTGTCTTCTGCCATGCTATTGCCATTGTTGCAGCATTCTCTGAGCCGAAGTCCTCGCGAGCTTGGCCGTTACTTGCGTTCAGTCCGGAACTAGAAGTTTTGGCGCTGGTATCCTTTCTGATCTCGCGCCCAACATTGGATTGGAAGGGTAGCATATTTGAAATTTCATTGATATGCTACGAAGTGTATTGGAGTCACTCGGGTGTTGCCGAATCTGATCTAATGGGTGATTATCCAGGTACTGGATTTGTTTCCTGCGATGTCTGGATCGAATTATTATAAATTACAAGGACAATATGTTCAAAAAAGAAGCTCTGTGTTAATTGTGGTATCAAGATCGTGAAATACTATGTATTGCACGGAAGGAATAGATGCTACAGACAGCATCTTATAAACACGAAGGAATCTACTCTACGGCTGCCAGTACAGAACTTCAAGAAGACTAGTATTTGCAGTCATAATGGTACGGTGCTGTCAGTCAAATTCCATCTTCAGACTCTCGTTTAATTTTTCGCCTGATTGAACGTCACCCTTTTCTCCCTGCTTCAATTGTTTGGGCGACTAGATAAAGCGGTAAAGTATACTATCTGATAAGATACATATATCTATTTCGTTATATAGCATGAATCAATCATAGTTCGGTCATTAAATCCGCTGGATATTCCACAATTTTTAAAAGCAGATTTTGAATTCCTATTTGAATGTCAAATCGCGAACTTCATTGAATAATCCGTATTTTAATTATTTTAATATATTTTGAAATGAGGAGGGGATGGATTATTTTAAAATGATACTAAATAATCCATGTTTTTTAATAAATTTATATAGGAAAATAAAAACGCGGATTGAAAACGAAGATTAGAAAAAATTAGTTTTGTTTTTAATTCAATAGATAATCCACGTTTTTATAAATTTCTATAAGCTTTAAAATCTAAAGCTTTAATATATAAAACCTAAAGTTATAATAGATAAAGTCTAAAGCTATAGATTTATTTTGAATTAGAGTTTATAATTATACATAAATTTAAATAAAACTATTCCTATATTCACTTATTTAATTATTCAAATATTAGTAGTATACTAAAAATTCGAGTTATTCTATTTAATTTGTGTAACGTGGTTTATCAGCATGTGACTCATATCAGCATGTGGCTCACTTCATTTTGTATACAAAATTCGTCTGTGCGTAACCATGCATTTTCTTTATTAGTCGATAGAATTTTTCAAAAATTTATTATATAAAACCTTATTTTTCAAATAATTTAAAAATCTAATTTTTTTTTCAAAATTCTAATATTTATCAAAGTTATTAAAGAAAAAGAGATTTTGTAATACAAAGTGTGACAATTTCGAGCTAAAATAAATTATTTAAAAAAGAAATCTAAATATTATAAATGTTCTATTTTTATTATGATTTTTTATGATTTTTCCTTTCAAAATAATAATTAATTATTAAAATATAAATATTAAAAAAACCTTGATTTTAGTGCATTTTCGAAGTGGGCTACATGCTGATATGGGTCATATGCTGATAAACCACGTTATATATTATATATATACTTTATTTATTTTTATTTTTATAGATTTTATAACAAATTTGATATATATAAATTATAAAACTATAGATTAATAATCCACTCTTTTTAAAGCGGATTACTGTTATTACAGAATTTGTAGTAACATAAAGAACGGATTATTTCAGTGGATTCAGCGCGGATTTTACATCCAAACTAGCCCTAAGACTTGTGTCTTAACTCTTCATGATCCGGAATATTACGCAGTTTCAGTTCCTGATAATATCGACACTTGTATCCTGTGAGAACAGCGAGTTGCGAGGGTTTCCTTATCTGCGACGACGACTGGAACGTTCTAAGTCGACTATCTCGTCTGTTAACCTTTCCAATTCTTCAATCAAGATCTTTCTTTTGCTGTCTGGGCCGTCCAAAATTCTATTCCAGACCAGGCGCCACTCTTCACGCAGAGTCGCCGATACACTAGATTTTGTTATTGTAGATAATGTTGCTTCACAGTCGTTCTGTCTTTCGGAGACTCCATCAAAGAATGGGTAGGCGCTAGATTTATGACTGTATAACTTTTCAAAGATCTCTTCAGCTTCTTCTTCGTACTCTTCTGGAATAAGGTTGCCCTTGAACAATGCCGCATCGGCAGCTGCATTACCCCTGTGAGCAGCAACATTACCGTTAGTTCTCAAAGCCATGTCTGCCTCACATCGGGAGATACCAAGTGATGTCTCTCGTGCTTGGTCTAGAAAACGTAATCGTATATCTGCTCCTATCTTAACCAATGGCTCTCTGATTTCATGTGTCTTCTTCAAATCCTGGTAGTTCTGTCGAACAGCATCACGACTGCATAACATACTCGCATACTTATCGGTCATCTTCTCGAGGCTTGCTTCAACACTTTCCAATTTGTCTCGAAGGGCGTTTCGCTTTTTCTTGTAGTACTCTACTTCTTCTTTGTACTCTTCGCGCTCGCTCCGGTATCTAGATGCATCTTCTTGGAGCTCATTATGCTCATCCTCGAGAGTGTAATAGTCAGTCTTAAGGGTCTCGTACTTGGTTTCTAGCTGTTGCAAGCGATTGGAAGTTGAGGCTGTCCGGGACTGCTCCTGTCTGATCCGATGATTTTCAACCCTCAAATTCCTTACTTGTTGCCGAAACGTCGCACTATGTTCTTGAACTACATTTAGTTTGAGTTGACAGTCTGTGACGTCTTGTGCTGATAGCTTCAGCGCGCGGAACAGAGATTCTGCTGATTCAAGTGCATCGTTCTTTTGGGTCTCCAAGGTTGAAATTCTCCCCCCAAGTCTCACCACTTCCTCGGACATTGCCATCAACTTCAAATCCAGCTCTCTTCTCTCCGTCCGAACTGCTGAATTCTTCTCCCTGACTTTCCGTAAATCAGTCGATGCTTTCCATCGTGCCACTTGCGCTTCCTCTAGATCCAACTTCATTGCGTCCATCTCTTTTCGATGACTTTCATTGCGTTGATCCAGTTGCTTTTGCATTTCCAACCTGTGTTTTTGAGTCAAACTTCAATATCGGCACGCAAAGAACCAGCTTGTGTCTTCGCAGACTTCAAATCGTGCTCTTGTCGGGCCATCTTCTCCATCAACTTGATGCTTGACTCTGATTCCGACGCAGTAGACTTCGCGATGGTTGTTTTGCTCATCACAACTTCTGAAGATCGAGCGGTGCACACGAGGCAAGAATTCTCGGGCGAACTGGTCGAATTGATCACCTTGATATCCTCGATGATACTTTCGCCGACGACTTGCTCGGTCGCACCACACGATACCTTCAGCGCGGATCCCATACTCTCTGTATTAGTGGAAGACTTCTTCAATTTGACAATTGCACGAGATGACTCCAACTTTCGATCTGAAACCGTGTGTGTTTCCTCTCGACAAGCTGCTACCACCACTGCGGATACTTGAGACTTCTCTTTCTTCACCTTGGCTTTCCTAGCAATTTCCGCTCTCTCCTTATCCTCATTCGACTGTTTATCATTCTTCCCCCAACCCGTCGGCAAAACATCCATATCATCATCGAGGAAACCTCCACTCCCAGAGTCTGTATCCGAGCCCCACCCAGCGCACTTCTCATCGCAGCTTTCATATTCAATCACGGGTACATGCAAGGGCCATGATTCTTGCCTTTGTTCGACCTGTTGAGAATCAACGTGCAAGTCTGCGACTTTACTTTAGTATTCCTGTTTTTATGCGTTCAATTGAGGTACTGGCTTACCTTCATTTTTTGCAGACGGCGCTCGATCTTCCGCTTTGGAGACGGTTCCTGCTAAAAGGCGAGATGCAGAAGCTGCAGTTGCTTTTTTCTTTTTGGCTGGCATTGTAATGGAATTGACGTCTTCACCTATTTCAATGAGCACTGGGTGTAGTTTGATAGTTTCTAGGCTGAGGCGCGTACTTCATGGATGAAATAACCCAGATTGGATGAGATTGTATAAAAAATTCATTAGTTGAAATTGCTTAGTTACAGCAATTGGAAAACGGAGAAAGGATGAATAACTTTCTCGTCCGTGTCGGGGAAACATCTTAGGTGAAGGTGAGAGGGGGATGTCTGGGATGCTCCGAAAGTGAGCCGTCTTAGTTGGATATTGGCAAACTTATAGCTTGGTACCTGTCTGAAGAAAGAAAATCATTTTTATTATACTCCGTCATAGTTCAACGCGTGGGATGTATATCCACCTCTGTGTTGACATGATGTGGATCTATAAAGATTTTCCAAGATGTGGAAATGTATGGGAGAGTTTTGCATGGCTGAGAAGTCTCAAAGGACATGGAAGTAAAACTTTATGTTGACAGGCACATGTGTAACTATCTCCTTGAAGATTGCATGTAGGCATTTGATATGGAATTGGTACATTATGAACATAGTATTACCTCCAGAAAGTGACAGCTTCCCACTCCGGCATAACCACAATTCATATGGCTTCTATACAAGCGTCAAGCAACTATATCCTGTCTTCTAGTTTTATCCACCACACTACGCCATTTGGCTTGCAACCACACTTCAATTCCCAGTACATATGTATTACACTTCTTGCGGTATCTTCTAGCAACCTCCGAGACATAACTCAGGCCCGTAACAAGGTAATGTTATAAACTTTGGATGAGTCTTTTCAGATATTCCGAAGACGCTGTCCATTCGAAACTACAACCCAAAATTAGCCATTATTCAGTAAAGATAAGAAGTTTGCACTAGCTTAGTTCTTGTCCCAGAACCATCAAGGTCTGCTAAATCACCAGGCTTCCCCAGCGTCTTCATCCCAATCCCCAGCTTGACTGGTTTCATCTTCATGCTATATATATAATCAGTCTGTGGTCATATTGATTCAGTGAGGATATACTTACAGTAGTATTCTTGACATAACCATGATACTCAATTCTTCTACCAATTCTTACAATCTGTTCCTCAAGATCTTTTAATTTAGATAGCCAGCTTGTAACTTCCTCATTTGCATCAAATATATCTTCTTGCGGATTTGCAATATAACAATCAATGATTAAAGAGAACAATTGCTACGCTTCTGTGCGAAGCTCTCGAGAAATGTTACTATCATTGTTGGCTCGAACAGTTTTGATACTAGCTTTACTGTCTAATGCCTGGCATAACTTTACCGGAAAGTCCATGACATCTGCGTGTGAATTAACATTGTAGATTTTGTTGTAAAGAGCCTCATTGGTGGACCCTGATAGATAGAAAAGTTTAAAAAGAGCTGCGTCAGTCAAGCAATATGCTCGATGGCAGCGATCGTTTCCCTCTTTAATGATCTTGTAATCGACACGACTGAATATTTCATCCGATGAGACTGTATATTTAGCTTGTTCAAAAAACCTTTTTCTGACTGCGACTCCAACCTCAATGAGGGGCTCTACCATGGCACGCTCCTCCTCAAGCGCTTTGACTTTTTCTTGTAGCTCTTGTATCTGGGAACTAAGCCTCTTGGTCTTCGATTGCTCTTCACAAAGTGCTTCTTCAATCTTGGCAGTCTGGCGCAATTCTCCTGTCGCTGAGTTCTTAAGTAGTGCTTCCTTTCTTTCAAGAAGCTTGCTATTTTCTTCCTTCAAACTGTATACTTCATCCTTAAGCTCGCTTATCGTCAACTCTAAGACGCCAAATCTCTCCTGCATGACTTCCTTTTCCCTATTTACAGCGCGAACTCCAGGGGGACGCTTCTTGATATTCAAAGACTTCTCAAGCTCTCTTATTCGATTCTTGAGATCAAATGTCTCTGCTTCGAACATGATTGCGGATTTCTCCGTTTCCAGCAAAGACACTAAGCTCTTTTTCTTAGTTTTCTCTGCCTGATGAAGTTCGTTCCAATACCATTGACATCTTGCGCGAAGAATGGCGTTGCTCACGCGAATCTTCTTCATGACCTTGCACAGCTTCTGCGCACCTTCTGACATATATGGGTAAGTCGTGATGTCCCAAGATGATTCGCCTTGCAGGGGTTTGAACGCGAATTTGAGCCTGGTAGAAGGCTTATTTTCATCTTCTTCTTCCTCCCTTCTGTTGATTGTGTCATAAGTCTTGGGTACCTTCTCGTAAGCTATTATATGGCATTGGTGGCGTATAATAAATTCCAGCTCCTCCGCATGTCCAACCACAACTTCCGGTAGTAGTTGCAATTTGTCCTTTACTGATTTAGAGTTCAATAACTGAATTTCCTCCCGTAATTCAGTTGCTTCTTGGTCAAGAGTCGATGACTTCTCATGCAAGATTGAGTTTTCTTTCCGAAGCTTCTCCAGCTCCTTGTTGCGATCCGCCTTCAGGTTTTTATTTTCAAACTTGATTGCTTCGTATGTTTTTGTGAGATTCTCCAAAAGTTTCTGATAGTCAACTTTTAGGCCTTCGAACAACTGCTGCCTCGCCTCCTCCAGTCTCTTGATACGTCGTTGATCTTCGATCATATACTGCTTGAGATTTTCCATCAGCCCCGCTGTCAGCTTTTCTGGAGCCTTTTCCATTTTGAATTTCAACACCATCTGTTCCGTCCGAGAAAATGCGGTTGGGACCACTGCTCGATCTAATCAATTTTTTCCAGCGTCTGATGGGGCTATACAGTCACCGTGCACTTCTATTAGCCAAAACTCTATAAAACGTGTTTTTTCATACGTTATATTCCTATAATCACATTTTATTATTTTAATTATACTTTCAATTTATAATATATAATATGTTAGAGATATACAAAATAATTCTTATAAGTGTTTTATTCTATATATATATAACAAAATAGTTAGTAAGGTAGAGAAAAGCTTTAATTTCTATCGAATTACAAAAAGCCTTAAACTTTTTTATAAAATTATATAATATATTCTTTTAGAAAATTTAATATACAATAATAATATATATCTATTATATACTAATTGATTTAAATTATATATTAAACAAAACAAACGAATACTATTATAATATATATAATTATTTCTGAAAATTATATATAAATAAATTATTCAAAAGATTAAATTTAATTATAATATTAAAATCATTAAAAGAATTTTAATTAAATATAATATAATCAATTAGAAATATAAAAAGAAATCAGAACCTATATTAATATATATTGTTAAATAATGTAAATAATATTTAGTTTATAGGAGATTGATAATTAAAGAATACGATTTAATTGTATAATCAAATAAATGCTTTATAAAGTGGGGAAAAGAAAAAAGATCAAAATAGTATTTCTATATTAATTTTTAAAAATGAAACTTAGAAATAATCAAAATATATAATATAAATAAGAATATAAAGATTATATATTAAAAAAGCTTTTGGAATACTAAAAAAAGTAATTTATATATAATAAATAAGGATTTTGAAAATACAAAATATGGGTATAATGCTAAATTTTATCTTAAGATTTTTGAAGTTAAAATAAATCCTATTTTCGAAAAGCTTAATTTAGGATATAAATTTATATAGAATAATGCTTTTATTTACTATATTTATAAGATATAAGATTGATTTCAAAAAAAGCAAATTTTTTTATTAAAAAATTAATTCTTTTATTTCTCTAATTTTAATTCTATAAAGTATATATAGTAAGCCTTAAAGATAAGAGTATATAAAATATTTCCTAATATTATTATTAATAAAAACAAATCAAAATATATTTGTTAAAAGTTAGAGAATTGTTTATAGATAGCTTAGAATATATTAAATAAAGAATTATTTAATAATTTGGGAGCTAATATACCTTCTAGAATTGAGGTTTGTATTACAGCGAATAGCTAATATACTAAATATTAATAAATTGAAAGTTAATAATAGAATAATTTTTATATATATTAATAATATGAGAATACATTATTTATTTATTCAAATTTAATAATTTTATAATTCTTGATTGATTTAATATTTAATATTGAAAAAGGGTGGTATAATATGTGACACCATAAAATAAGCGGGGGGGCGGATATAAGTAGCCTAGTACTATAAGTCGATCTAGCGTGGAACCGGCCGGTGATAAATGATCTTTTGCCATCGGAAGGACCAAGGTTGGACTATGACTAGTCTCTATTGTCGTTAGAGTTGCTTCTTCTGCGGAATTCTCTACTGCAGTCTTCTTCTTTTTGGATTTCTTCTTCTTTTTCTTCTTTGGCTGAGAAGGTTTATCACGCTCCTCTGTAGATATTGTCTTAGCACAAATACTATCCTTGCCTCTGTGTGATTCATCGTCCGCAATCGAAGATCCATCCGCATTGAGTGGACTGTCGTCTAAACTTGTAGTCGGGAAAAGGGTCAGTTGATTATCGGAGTGCCGAGTAAAAACATGGTCGAAATCTTCTGATCGGTCAATGCTAGATCGAGAGCCTGTAGTCACTAGATTATCATCCAGAATGTAGTCCTCTTCTTGGTAAATGCCCAACTCTGCTAATAAAGAATTAGCTCAGAGTGTCATTGCATTTCCTGTCGAGAAGGTAGAATCACTTCTGAAATCCCGAGGAGACATACCTGCAGGATTTGAAGCTTGTTCTATACTGGAATTTTCAGCATTTGCTACGACATTAGATTGCGGTTCCAGTTCCCTGTTGTATTCATTAATCGCCACAAGTCCGAGTCTTCCGATCGCTGAAGTAATAGCTCTAGAGCAGCCCAAGAAATTCTCCAAGTGTTCCTTATCTTGAAAGATCTTAAGGTCTATATGATCAGTAAGACGACCATTCAACTTCCAGAGTGTTTCTTCAACTGCCGAACGATACGCAGGCTTGTGCCATAATGATGGATTTTCTTCCATATAAGTCTCTAGAAATCTAATTCTGCTGACGATTTCGGGTAGTTCCGCCGTGTTGCGTGCAGAAGTCGACATCGTTTTCAATCTTGTAGAGGGCAAAAAGGTGACTTCGATTAAAACCTGTCAGCTAGTTGCCTTTTCCAATTCTCAAAACACTCTCTGAAACTGGAATTCCTTGGGGGGAATAAAGGTTGATTGTGATATATTAGTGTGAGCTGATACGGTGGATGAGATGAATACTGTTGCATGTTGATAGACTATTCCAAAGTCTTTGCAACACATGGCAACTTGCCTGATTGTCTTTATACAGACTTGACTGATCGAAAGGCACCAGATACGTGTCTTGAAGTCAGATAATCTCATAGAAAATTTTCAGTGCCTGAAATAAAGAGTTATATGAGACAGAGCTTCATTCAGCCATGTAAAGTTTGTGTATGTGATAAATTGTTGTCATGGAGTCGTGTGCCAAATTTCCAATCAAAGAAAACCGGTGGTCTGAGTTGAACCATCCTTTGCTTAAGCGGCATCCATCCTCTTCAGCATTCACTTCTATTAACTTCGAATATGAATCCAAGCATATTCAAATCAAATTACAACAAGCTTTCGTTGGACGACAGAGATGACAGAGATGAGGCCCAACGGGAATGCTGTATCATCCCAGTGATAAGCTCAAAAGTAAGAATACCAATCCTTCGATGGCAGATTACATATCTGTCATCGACATGGCCTATCAATGTAATTTTTTAATATGGAGACCTCAATATAGAGAGCTGTCTCATAATTTGCTGAGTGGTAAATGTATTGAGCAGATGTTTTGAGCTTGAAAAATCTAGATTGATAATGGCAGTATGTCAATCATACCCTCCTCGAAAATTACGGTCTTCTTGCTCGACTTGCCGAAAAATTTTCTTCCTTTAACACAACAGCGTGCTGATTGAGTATTGGGAATTGATACCCCAAGCATTGATGATTTTGTTCACGGAAGAGTAGAGACTGGAAAGTTCCCAACCTCTTCTCATTTTGATGTGGCCGTTGTTGTCTGAGTCACCAGATCTTCCAGATGCTTTCATCATAGAATAGTTCACATGGTATTCAGATGACACTCGCAAATTGAAGCAGCTATTGTTGTTATTCTAACAGTGGCGCTTCTTTGATCATCCAGATTAGGATACGAAGAGGCAAGAGCTGCGCGGGAGAGAAGAGGCCCAGGCGTGAAGGAGACCATATAGCAGATATCGGAGGACTATGAGGATGCTGCATTCATCTATGTAGGTATTTTTACAGATGAATGAATACCCTCATTTCATTCAGTCATTGTTTGAAATCTCCTGTGATACAATGCTATGCACTGTAAGACCCCTAAAAGCTTAGACTAGAAAGTTCATCGATGTATCAAATCTTACATCTTCATAAGAAGAAAGGGGAAGTAAATTTACAAAAGGAATGATGCAAGCATGCAAATTCCCAAAACTAAGGCCTTGCACAGTAGATCATTTACGATCACGTGATATATGGCACAATTTCGGTATGCTTTGTTCGCAGGAGGTAAACACATTTGATGGAGAATCAGATGGTCAGCTTCGAGGTGTACAGCATATTTCATGCATCAGAGAGGCCTAGTATTTGATACAAAGGCTAGACTCAATTCGCCGCTCTCCCGGGACGTATGAAGTTCGAACTACCCTTCCGAATTTCGAATTTCTTCCGAAAGCCTGTTGCATGGACTCGTCAAAATGCTAAATCGGAGCCCGATAAGCAGTGAAATGTGGCTAAAGGGGGGAGTAGGTAGCCGACCCAGGGTCTGGAACAGTTCCAAGTACGCTACTGATCTTTCATTGCCGACACCGGGGTTCCTAGAAATAGATATACCTTAAAGTACTTCAGCAAGAGGAAATCTCCATTTAAGACACCAGAAGGCGTTCAGAACCCATCTCATCATCCCGTCTCTGTAAATTCAAGGGCCAGCTAAGATTTAGAAGAACAGTTTTTGAATCATTGCCAAGGCCGTTGGGAATGAAATTTGGGATGGTTGTATTTGTCGCGAATGATTGGTCAGAATGCGAGGGGTGATCAGCATTCTTTGCTTGAAGAGCCTCAAATTTGCACGTTGTCTTACAAGGCCATGGTGGCTGCATCAGCTGAAGTTTGGGCGAAATTGGAAATCTAGAAATAGAATCCAATCAAAATGCATTGTAATCACGTGAGCTTACACAAATTCGAGCTTGGACTGGCTCGCTAGTTTGGGCAACCCTCTCTTTCATCCCCTAGACAGTGATAAAGCATGGAGCAAGAACTCAAGCCCGACATCAACATGCTCCAATATTGGGGAAAGAAAAGCGCCAAAACACTACTACCAGAAGCTGTGGTGGTGATTCAACCCACGTGGAACATTCTGATGCATGAAATGTAAGCCTTCGGCAACGACATGGATACTGGCTTGTGGCTTTCTGGGCATCCCTTTTCTGACAAAAATGGGGTTGAAATATTGCTTTTCAGTATCTTGGCTTTCCGATAATAGATCAGGCTTTCCTAATATCCGCAATTGAGGGCGTTGATACATTCATATATCATTATTTAGGCAACGACTTTTAGTTCATCGACAAATGATTGGTTACATGGGAATCATTCGTGAAATTTGTAAAAATAGCATGAGCAGGAGGTTTTGATATTCAATTCTTATTTTAAAAAAATAAGCATTGGGTGCTTACTATGAGAACACTTCACGACGGGCTTCCCCTCCCGCCTTATAGTGCCTGTCAAACAGGGCACATATCAATGTCATGGGATAAGTCAGCCTCAAGCCACCTAGGGTATTTTCCATTTCAATGGGCTTAACCCTTGCTCTAAGGGTCTCGGCGTCCATCCACCTTTCTGTCACAAAATTTTGAATGCTATTCCTTCTCTGGAGTTGGTGGAAGATGCCGGGAAAAGGATTGCTTGTGTTTCAAGGAATCTTTCCTTAATAACACCCACTTCTCGCGTCGACTGCTCTGTCTACACAATTGAAATGATTTCTGTAAAGCCTTACTGACGTCCCTACCCTCTCATCACAAAGAAATACATTCATCGACGCTAGTTTGCACTTGAAAGATCTTCCATTATGTCAACGTCGGTAGATATCAACCAACATTTCGATGGACAAAGGCATTGGTTCAAGCAGTTTACCTACACCAATCCTACTTTGAGGGATGCAGAAAAGGCAGGTCCCCTCGATCCAGTGCCCACACATTTCCACAGAGATGTATTAAACCGGGAGACATGGCGACCTCGAGATCTCCTCAGATATATCTCTCCTTCCTATGGCAAACCATATCATATGCTTGTACAAGCCGCTTCTAGTCCCGATATCCAACCCCAAGGAGAATGGAGGCGACGACGCGTTGGAGGAAATGCGCCCACACTTTTGAGGGTGTCTTCATGGGCCATTGGAAATGAACTCGACTCGGCTCAAGATATAGCCTTGGCTATCGGAAGATCTATTCTCGTCCTTCCTGTCATAATATTCATTGTCGTATATGGAATTACCAATGGCGATGGGAAAAACAGTGACAAATACACCAAGTTCCCTCACAAATGCTATGAGTATCCGAAGCATGCTCTGAATCAACTAGATGCTGCCCCAAATGCAGCGCAATGGATGAAAGGGCAGCGCCAAGATGATGGAGATAAAACCTACATAATCAAGGGTGAACAAAATCGCCTTCTTCGACCTCGTGCCTTAGTTGTATTCCGTAAGAACGAATGGGAAGTTGTCGAAGATGGAAGCTTTTCTGGTCCATACATCTTCATTAGTTTTGCAGCCGCCCAATACCAAAGACCTGCCCCAACAGACCAAGATCCTGGAAGGACTGAATTAAATAAGGAGGCCATTAATCAAAGAGCAAGAAAACTCACGTTGCATCATGGAATGGAGGCATATTGGGTAGACTTCCATGTAAGTCTTGATACTAAATTAGCTCAATAACAACTGCTGACTTTGTGTTAAAGTGCAGAGCGAATCAACAACCTGAAACCACTGACGATGTTCATCGATTCTGTGATGTCACCCGTGGGGCCCAAAAGGTCTGTGTTGTAATGCCCGACCGTTCTCCACAAGCCCTAGTGTTCTTTGGTCAACGTCTCTGGTGTTTACCTGAAATCCTACTTGCCCGCGATCATAAAGTTAGTATCTGCACACCCAACATCCAGAACAAGGAAGGTGTCGATAACATAGAAGTTGTTGATATTATGGAGTTCACGCATCGATCATGGGCAAGAATGCTCACCCCAAGCAATGAAATTATCCACGACGGAAATGACGAAATTTTCCGTCTGTTGGCTGAACACTATACTGGGTCTCTGACTTTAAGTCGGCTCGAGCTCATTCAAGTTGCCCTCAAAGCTTTGAAGTCTAGACAGTTCACAGAGTTTCAACGTGGTGATATTGCCTATGCTCTCATGACACTTCTCACGAAACGTCCCCGTATGGATCCTTCTGATACAGAAGAGCAAGCTCTCGCCCGACTATCACTGGCCAATGATAGTGATCAAATCGTCGAACGTATGGCTTGCATGGATGGCATTCGTATGACAGGTAAACCCGCGTGGTTCAATCTTGAAGATGATCTTGGTGCCAATCTATGGGACATTCAGCCTCTCTGTCAGGTAGCAGGTGTTTGCCATGACGGGTCCTTAATTCTAGATGGTGCTCATGCAATCTCAATTCGTTGGAAGGACATTCCCAGAATTTATTCTCTCAGAAGAAGATCTTGGAAGAAGCTAGGCGCTGATTGGGCTTTGGCATTTGGACCAATTTTGTTTATTGCGGGATGCGCTTTGGTGGCTCAAGGTGGCTCAGTTGGTGGACTGGGGGCCTTTTTCTTAGTCCTGGGACTTATCATTTTGCTCTCAGCACCCTTTGCTGTGAGGATTCTCTACGGCGGGAAAGTTTGTAAGTAACGTTCTATCTCCTTGGCTCTCTGAAACTAACAATAAAATAAGGGGGTGCCACACCTTGGCTTGTCGGCTTTGAAGGAACTCTTTCACTTGACCAGATCGAAACTCTAACTTTCGGAAACTCAATTGGTCGTCTTCAATACACGCCTTCTAGCGGTCCATACTGCACTGGTAAAGCAGATGAGAGAATCGGTGGGGAACCTCACTTTAATGTTGCGGATCTTCCTCACGGTCATAGATTGTTCACATTGATTGATACCGTAAGTTTTTTTTTCTATTTTTCGTATCTCATAGAGATAGTCAAACTAATCACATTTATCTCAGGGCACAATGACTGTTACTGTTTTCTCCGCCGAACGTCCTCCATCCGTAGCTCTACTGGCGGGTAAAGAAGGAGGAATGTTACGAACAATTCTGTGCTCTTACGAAAGATCTAATAATGGGTTGCGTAAAGAATGTGTACTGAGAATGGAGACCCCAATGTGGGATGCCAGCGATGCGATGGGATGGGTGAAACTCACATAGCGAAATACAACGCATAATGACTACATGGTTTCTTTGTATCATAGAATATTGTTTTGGACATGATGGAAAATTAATATTTAGGTGTGTTTGGATGGGCTTGGTTTAATGATGGACAGATGATACCTAACCAGTAATAATACTGTTGTTTTTGTTTTGCTTGCAACACTAGACTCATCAACCCTATGTTCGATGATTGACAAAATTCTCTTTGTCTGTGCTTGTAAATGCCATATATTGAATCAAACAATGTACCTGGCAATTTTCATTTGTGCAATTAGACAAGAACTAGCCTAGTAGCATAAATACTTTCTTGTGAAGACAAGGCCTACAAACGGTCTATACATACCTAGGTTTATACTATTACTGGAAAATGATTTAGTATACAAGACTGAAGGGAAGTCCTAACAGATTGTTCTAGATTACTCATCTCCTGTCATAGACACAAACTCGGGAAAAGTCCATAAAAGGACGACAATCCTGTTTTCCAGATTCATAGTCAATAGGTTGTTTGAACTGCAAGTCGGATTCACTAACATTTATATATCAAAGCAAGTCTTAATATACTATTGAATATGAATGATTTTGATTCATATGATGTTACTACAGCGGGTGAAAATAGCCCGAGCCCATTTAGAATTCTGAATTAGATGAAACTATTGGAGTCGTTAAGTTGACGCTTGTATTGTATTAGAAATCTCATTTGCAGGCACAGAACCCTGTTGTCGAGCTTTGTTCACCAATTTATATATAAGAGTATAGAATGCTTTAGTTGCACAATCAATTCAGAATCAAGGAACTTGAGTACAAAAGCAACAACAGTCTTTAAAGTTGTATAGTTGAACTCTTTTTTTCCAACTAATCTTCCACGCTTAACCACCAAAAGAGACTCCATTCTACGAGAAACGATTTGAGATACATACAAATTCACATTTTAACAGTTCGAGCCTCCCCGGAATCCAATCTTTTTACAATTCAGCTGGCCTTGTAATGGTCACTTTCGTAGATTCCGACTACAGATTCTACCCTCGCCCCTACAACAAGATCTTATTTCAGTCTAGACAACCCGTCTTACCTCCCTGTATCCCTTCTTTCATCTCCGAAATCGTCACCAATGTCTACTCCTGTAGATTCCAGCCATGACGCAGAACAGGCCAGATTCCGCGCTGGGATCGTGAAGGAGTTGAGAGAGGAGATGCACGCTTTGTTTGTCTGTACCAAATGCAGAACCAAAGGAAACATAGTGGTAGTCACCGATCACACAATACCTTCGGGCGAGATACTGGCAGGGGATTCCTGGGCTTTAACGATGATTAAGAAAAATACTCGCTATGAGTTGCACCCTCCAAGAGAAATACCAGACCTCTCGGGAAAAGAGTCGGCTGCTCAATTGAGAAGAATACTACAATCGACACTCGATGAAATCAAAGATTTAAAAGCAGAGCGCAGTTCTGCAGTTGGAGTCATTGAGAAAATGCGGAGTGATCACCTAAAAGAAATGTCACTGCAAGTAGATAACTTCCAGATGAGTATTAAACAGATAGAGAATCAAATACAGGGCGAGAGGCAGGAGACTAGCGAGAAGTTACGTCTAGCTGATAATAGGTGTAAAGCGCTACACGACAAGTCCGCTTCGCTAGACTCGAAGTATCAAAAGACCTCAGAAAATTTGAAGGAAGAGCAGAAGAAGAATCTTGGACTGGCATCTGATTTGAAAATTTTGAGCGGAGAATATCAGAAACTACGCTCAAATCACGAAGCACTTCGAGAAACAAGCGAGAAGTTTAAGCCCCTTCTAAACATTGGGATAGCTATGAGGCTGAGGTGGCTTGAGAACATCCACTACATGTTCGAAGGTCACAATGGCAGAATGCTAGATGGAAGCATTGTGGAGTCAGGGAATGTCGCAGCTCATGACCCTAATTTCGAAGTAAGTGAAAAAAATGCCAATCCTCCATTGAGAAGTCCATCATCTCTAACATTTAATTTAGGCAGACTCATTGCTGGCACAGTACGCTGGACTTTCAGTTAGATCTAGTGACCGTGTCAATGAAAGCATGCAGCGAATATATGGGAAGAGACATGTACCGACATCAGCAGACACCTTACCTCCACCCGCATACCTTTCCGCTCTGATTTTTGTGCTGGACTGCAAGACCGCGGCTGCAATTCATCAATCTCGCGAGCTCCTGTTGGACTATCCATATCATCAAAGGCTTCGCTTGATTTTGAAAGATATGATGGGTTTTTGGGAACGCGCAAAATCACGCCAGGAATTTGAAAGCATCGCGAGAGTGGAGGAACTACGGAAAGAGGCGGCGCAGATCTGGGAAGCCGTGCAAATTGCATTTAGGAATAGCAAGCGGAGGAGCCGACCCCAAGATTAAGTGACGAATTATTTATAGTGGGCAACGGCTTGAATGACCAATTGAGTGGATATTGTACCGTTATTTTGGGTTGGAATGTGGAATATAATTTGGACAAATGTCCAAAGTCTTTTCAAATGAAGTTCGTAATACAGACCTCCTTTTTCGTGTTAGTTTAAATAGGCAAGAACTATGCTCGAGTGTCTCCGATTCGCATTACATACGTCATTGTGCGTGTATATATGACTTGAGATCAAAATCAGTATTGTGTGTTAGGCTTGCAAGTGCCAACTGTTGTGTCAAGATCCATAGGTTAGCACACATCAGAAGTGATCTTTCTTTGAAAATCATGAACTACCCACCATAAACTACCTGCCATAGACTACCAGCATAAACTGCCTATCATGCAGCATAAAATAATACAAACAATATTCAATGTACATTTCCAATACTCTGAACAACCATCAAACAAGCGTATATTGTGTCGAGCGTTATTTCAACTCCATAAATGTTGCAACCCTACTTGAACTGTGTGTGAACTATATGGAAAGTGTGTGGAAATCATACGGAAACTGTATTGAAACAGCTCGAGCTACCCCCTATATATATCTGGCTATCGTTCATTCTAATATCTCCATTCTCAATCCTGCATAGTCAATCGATACTCTTATCACATCATCAAAGAATATCAAACCATCTTCAGATTTTCAACTTCAAGACCATGTCTTCGAACAAACAAAATCCAATTGTCCCAGGGACAGTCCGAGCTTTGACAAACAAATGGCAAGCTGGAGGACAATCCAATTTGCAGCAGGCTAATCTCTCGTTGCTAGATGCTCTTCCTGATCGGAATTGCAGTCTTGCAGCTCAACCCGCACCGGGGCCAGCTCTTGCAGTTGCAATCAACCGATGGGAGAATCGAACCGCACCCACCCCTGCACAGCGGGCTCTTCAGCTATTTAATTCTCTTCCGGACGGGGAACTTTCCCTCATTCCTCAAAGCTCCCAGTCAAATGCGGTTGTTCGAGCTCGTCCAAGATTAACAAGTTTTGCATTTTCCAGTTTACCTCCAGAGGTTCGACTCATGATTTGGGAGTTACTCATTCCGGCGCCTCAAACCATCAGAATCACTGACAATGCGATGAGACACAACAGATCGCATTCCCGTCAGAACCCGGCCATCCTTCATATAAATTCCGAATCCAGAACAGAGGCTCTCAAACACCTCAAGCGACTTTTCGGTGGCGTCAATGGCAATGGTTATCCTGTACAGTTCAAGTATTTTAATCCAATTTTAGATCTTCTTTACTTCGATGGTGGCGGCACCCAGCTCTTTGCATTTCCACCTACTATTCTTCCCCCTGTTGCGGATCTCACTCACGAAGCACCGATGGCACAGAGCGACAATGTTGTTTCCCTTCAAGTTGGTGAATGGCAGATGAATCAAGCAGGGCCCGCTGCATATTTCCGAAACGTAGAATGTTTGAGGATTCAATACTTCGCGTCTCGCTCCCCCGGCAACTGGTTCACACCCGCGTATCCAACAAACACCGCAGGAAGGCAATTGTTTGTACGAGAGATACATTTGCATATGTTTTGGGATACAGATACCACGCGCAGGTGGTATAACACGCGACTCAATGCCGGCTTAGTAAATGAGTTCCTAGAATCGAGATTTTGCTTACGCGGGTCGATCAGCGTGTGGTTGACTCGACTGGTCAATACGCTATTGACTACTTCCGCGACAATCCCTTTTGAGTCATTCCAAGCTTTACCCTCATCCCACCCCACTACACAACCCGTACCTAGCTTCTTTACATGCGTTGTTCTTTGATGATTATTGACATATAATTTTCATTCGTATTTCAATACAATATTTCTTTCATTGAAACCCCCTTATATCTTTCTGAGTCAAGTGACATTCATCCAATACCCTCTCAATTCTCTCAGTTATAGTAATCCTCATGCTACACTTCATCTTTTTTTTCAAATAGTCCTTTCACATAGTCCTTTCACATCATCTAAACATTTTCTATTAATAACAGATCCCGCAAGTTTTTATGTACTCCTCTACATCTCAAGTGGCCATAATTGACCGCGATATATCAGTGCTCAACTCGAATCTCTTCCAGCGATAGCTAGTCGTTCAAACTTAAAACTCTTTGTACTAAGAATTGATTTCATTTCCTTGATGGCAGGCTTTCAAGCTCTAAGGTAGAGCAAAGTCTGGATGTTCGTTTAATACCGTTGTGTGAAAATATGTTTCCTCTTGGCGACATATACACAAAGAAATATATCCAAAGAGGATCAATAATACACGGGATTAGTCTGCTCGATCCTTTATACTGAAAAATCAGAAGATCTAGTGATCACTTAATTATATACTTATTTCATCTGCCTCTTTTTTTTTATACTCTTATTTCAGTCTTGTCTTTAACACCCGCTCCCCCTCTCCCCGCCTCATCCCCCTCTTAGCATGTCTCCTCAAAATTGCAAGTTACGTGAAAGTCAAGCCTCCTATTCTCTCTTCTCGTCGGAGTGTTGTTTACAGCTAGTTCTGTCGTTTGTTCTGCTGGAATTACATTAGAACAACACATCATGATTCCCCAAGACTCTCTACATTAATATCATTGATTGAAAACTATCATGAAACCATCTGAGAATAATACATCATAGTTCACTATATATTAATGTAAATTTCATCATAGAGCAATTTAGATAGACAAACACATCACGCTACAACTTAGATACCTAGTTAACCTCTATCCAGAACTACCTACCTAGCTATCATGTCATTCTCCATGCTTCCTGCCGAGCTCCGAGCCATCATCTGGGAGTTTGCAATTCTCAAACCAAGGTCACACATCGTCAAATCTAACCAGATGATGAAAAAGAACAAGATTCCGGTCCTCTTTCAGATAAATCACGAATCCCGCGAGTTTGCTTTGAAATATATGCCACTTCTTTTCGATGGTACTAATCTTGCTGGCTGTGATGATTTACATTTCAATTATTTCAATCCAAAGATCGATACGCTCTGTCTTTATGACATGGATGAAAACATCGCTTTCTTCATGGGCCCTCGTTATCACCCAGAGACATGACATTGACTTTCCTGAAATTGCACCCATTAAAGAATGCGATATGGTCAAATCGATCGAAGTAAGATGCTTGACCCAGACATGAACTCCTTACTCAGTAAAACTGGGTATTTTCGAAACCTCGAAAGACTAGTCGTACGATATCAGCACTCTTTCAATCGGCATCTTGACACACCGTCTTCCTCAAGCCCAGCTGATCAGGCAAACGCGATAATACATGCGATGACCTCGTCGGCCATGAAACATTGGGGATTATTTTCGTGACAGGTAGAGCTTGGAAAGATAGCTGCGATACCAGATATTATTTTCATTGTCACAAAAGCCGATGCTCGTTTCATTTTGTCTACTGGTGTATCGACCCTCGAGTTCTCTGGAACTCAGACTGTCATGAACAAGGTCGCTGAAAAATTTCTATCCACCTTGATCAATTACAGGTGAAGAAAGCAAGTTGTATTCCTAGCTCTTTTTTTTTGAAAATAAAATACGTAACATAATCGATGAGTACTTCGATTCAGAGCTCAAATGAGTAGATCTCAATAGACCCAAAAAAGTGAGTTTTTGAAACGACCATTTCTTCCTATCAAAAATAACAATCCTACTTTACTATGAACCCCAATCCCTTTTATAATTACCCTGCGCCAAGTGATACCTCCCACTTGCAATATTTATATTTAACTTCGTCCCATTGCGTAGCAAAGAACCACAACATCATCTAATTGCTTGTTACTTGTGCTCTTTTAGGTCTAATGAGATATTCTTGGCTGTCTAACTATCATTGAAAATACCCTCAACCTTCTGTTGCATTTTAATCTTGTTGAAATCGTGTTTTCTCAAATTCAGATCTTTCCACGATGTAATCACTCTCCTTTATGTGATACTTTCTCTTGTGTTTCAGCTCATTCTCTTGTGGTTCGGTTGTGAAAAGAAGTCTATACTGTGAACCTGGCTTCGCCGCGTACTGGCTAACATGTTAGAATCGACTGTTTCTTGAAGTGATCTGTAGATGTAAAATTGCATGGTAGTAGCAAGTATTGCGGCTTTCTTGAAATAGACACATTGTCTGTGTAATGACAGCTATCTGGATCTATCATTTACTGATAATCCTAAACGCTTGCATACATTAATCTCAAGAACAAAGCGGGAATGTGAGCAATATTTCAGATAATTGTGAATTCTAGCATATGGGGGACCGTTACTAGTTCTCGTATCTAGTTGAGACGAAAGTTTTCTTCTCAAGTCATTGGAAAATTGAATCCGACTCTCTAACTCTTCTCCTTTGACAGCAATGATTAGAGAACAACCCTATGCAGTGTCTCTTTGTCGTATGCTGTTTATAGTGATAATTTTGAGAAATCTGAAAGACTCGCTTCACTTTCTTTGTGTAGTTGGGCAAAGACTTATAGACAATGCCATTGTTTCCGAGATGGCGGATCGAACTTTTCAGTACACCACAAAGGCCAACACACAATCGCATTGTTTCTGAACATCAGAAATTGTGCCGAAACAACTGATAGCAGCCTAGTATACAACTGTCGAATATATCACTTAACTGTTTCTCCTCCAGTTCATTCCAATCATCCTTAGCCAGTAACAGCATTACCAACAACAGCCTTTACTTTCCATATCTTTCCAGAAATACTTCAAGAAATATTTCGAAACTTTTAGGTCTCGCAATTTCAGCTTCCTACATCATGCCTTCCAGCAACTCTCAAGTCAACCTCACCATGGTCGAGGTCCGCCCAGGTGAGTATAGACTTATGCCAACCTTCCCAGCCCCCACTCCATCGACTCCTGAGTATGGAAACATCCCGATCAAGCTCGATCAATCCAACTCCAACAATGCTGGCGCCAGCCGGCGTTAGGTTTTGGATCGGCGATCCGGGGATGGGAGATGAGGGGAGGGGAGGGGAGGGTAAAAGGTTTTCATGAAGCTGGACTTCATGGAATTTGAGCCCTAGTGGTGCTCGCAACTCGAATCAAATCAAACGACTAGACGTCGTCTTTTCCTAATATCTTAATTATTCCCAATTCAATATCAAGTGATAAACAGCCTTTCTCTGCCATGCTAATATAACAGTCTTTTACCATGATATTTCAAACTGATAGTTTTCCTCCGCTTTCTAATTTCAGCAAGAAAATATGAAGCCAGAAACAATTTACTAACAAATTTTGACACATTTGATGTGTACTTACCACTTGGTAACTCGATGTCAGAACTAGAGAAAAATAAACAAGAGTGCCGCTTTCCTATGTCCAGCAGCTCATAGAATGCCAATTATCCCAAGTCGAAACTTACTAGATACATCGCACCAAAATTCCTTTCCAAAGCTTGATTAACCCCCTATACACGTGCAAAGTTCAAATACCGCAGATAACTTTTTGAATACTACCTGTCCCCAGCCCGCACTCACTATCACAGAGCCTATCTACTCTTGACACTCTTCGATTTTTTTCCCGTGATATTCGCAGTGCTATTTTTGGTAGAATATTGATCATGACAGGTGATATTTCTCGCGTGATAATCACACTTGCGATTCTCTGTTAAAGCTTCTTTAGTCTGCTGTTGTTAAATTACTGTTATATTTAACTTCCGAACACCTGTCAAAAATTACCTTTAGCTTTCATTCTTCAGGAGAATAACAATTCCTTCAAGCCTATCGTTCATATCATAACCAATCTAATCTTTTATCTGGTGCATATGACCGTCTAATACCCATGTCGTCCCAAATGTTCGGCAGAGTAGACAAAAAGTCCCCCACAATGACATCAAATGAAAAATAGCTGGTTAATTAGCTCATATTAGATCCATGGAATTATACCTCCGTAACTTGATAGTCCCCCTTACTACTTGAATATATATCCTAGAAGGGTGAACGCAAGGTATAATGCAGTTGATTTTGGTGCAACTATTTTTGCTTTCTGTATTCAAAAGTGAGAAAAGCTATGGTTGTAAGAAGGCTGGGATGGAAATATATGCGTCTTTTAAGATTTCAAAGTCTACCTCACGTGACACAAATATTGATATACACACAAATGTGATGTCTTTTTGGACGCAAACCCTAGTACCCTTCATAATTATGCTTTTGTTTGGCCCATAACTCCACAAGTGCGCAGGTTCATAATCGAAATTGACGGAATCCCTATCCGATAAATATCTAGTTGTCTGATTGCTCGAATTAACATGGACTCAGCATATTGGATAGACAGATGCCAACAGCTGGAAGCCCGCATAATTGAGCAAGCCCGGGAGATAAAAGATAAAACACAACAATTGGAGGATGCAGACGAACATGCCAAAATCGTCGAGACCGAACGAAAGGCCCTGAAGCAAGAAATAAAGAATATGAAAATCGAAATGGAGATCCAACGCAAAAATACAAGCACGTTGGCTCGGATTGGCGTTGCTGTACGAGTCCGTTTTCTTGAACATGCCAAAGCTCAGGTTATGGGTCTCCATAAACTCAATTTCGATGCCAAGATCGTTCAAAGAGGAAATGACGCGGCACATAGAGCATACGGCGCTGTAGATGCTACGCTATTTACTGGGGACTATCTTACAGACCGCGAAAAGAGACAACTGGAAGAGGTTTACGGTCTCATTTACGACGGCTTATCTCCTCACAATTATGGGGATATGCCACCACGCATGCTTCAAGCAATTGATCATCAGGGTAGTATTGTTTCGCTTTATGCCTTGAATAACGGGTCGATGTCGATTCGGGAAAAACAAGCTGCAGGCGATAGCATGGACTTTCTGAAGAATAAGCGCATAGAGCTAGGAGATGAGGCATTTGAGAAAGACGAGGACGTTGCACGACACTTGCGGAGACTTGGAGAGTTCGCAGACCTCATTATCGCAAAATCCCGACGGCAGGGTGCTTTCACGCATGGCACCAACCCAGGGACACCTTCCTCTAGTTATGGACCTCCTCAAACTCCACCATTTCGTCAAAATCGTTCCAGCCCTCCTCATCCACATCGTGGCAAGAGACCTAGAAGAGGTTAAAGCCCTTTACCTTGATCTAAATGTGAGTTTCCAATTGATTCGGCTCAATGTTCCATTGAATTTTACTAATGAGATGATTTTGAGAGCTCCAACGTTTTCGTCATCCTGTCGCAACGATTACTCAATTGAAAAAACATCATCGCCGCCACTTCCTTGGATATGCTTGTTCAATCTTTCTCGATTTCGATTATATACACTGTCAACTAGATTCCGAAGTTTGCCAAGCACTTGAGAAGGATATATGCGGGTTCAATTTCAATGTAATAATATAAATGAGGGTAATTGCACCGTTCATAAAGAATCTTCGATTAAAATTTTGCGGAGAAATACTGGATGAGTTCCCATTGTATACATTCATCTCAGGTTCTCAAATGTTATCATCTGAGGTGGGGAGTGAAGTTAGAAAGGGGCCTCGCTTAATCACTAGCATAGAGTGAATCCATGATTTGCTGTGATCCAGAGCTGCAGGTGGTCAAACTTTTAACTAGCTCGACCTTTTGAATTTTTCTCATTCACTTTTTTCGATACAGCAGTGGTTAGATGGGAATAAAGGTGACAATTTACTGAACAAGGACTTTGGACTTGTATGTTAGTCCAATTGATATTGTCTAAAAGTTCTGTCTCGCAAAGTTTGTTTGTTCTTGGGAGAAGTTTAAAGATGGAAACTGTTTGTGATTTAATGACGACCAATTAAAGATCATGAGAAAGCGAGGGAGACATCCTCTAGGCAAGTTGCTTAGGTACAGATTGGTTTTGAATCTGATAGGGATATAATTCAATGCGGTGAATCCAAAACGGAACAAGTAGGGAACCACATTGGCTAGGAATAGTGACGTGTGTGAATTATGACTATTAACAAGTAGTCAAGTAGAGTAAGTAGCCTGGAGCTCGGACCTAATTTGTTCAACATTTGCTCTAGAAATATTTGAACAAGCAACCACAACTTCGATTTCTCTTACTTTGATTCTTGTCTTAAGAACATCTGGAGATTTCCAAAGACATACCCACCCAGAAGTCAAAGAAGACTTGCCTTATCAACCAGTGTCTCCTTTTACTGGCCAGTTCCGGTATCATGACGTCCGAAAAAGATTTGAGAAGAGATCATGAGAGAGATAGAGATAAAGTTGCTGAGCTCAACAGACAAAACGAAAAAATTGAACTGGTCCAGCTCGAGAATTTCTATCGCATGAAGAGTAGTGCCTTAAAGATTCACGAAGATAAGTATGGTAGCAAGGAAAGATGGAGCGACATGATCATCGTTAGTTACTCGATAACTCTGTATGGTTTGAAGATCAATAACTCACATGTAATTTAGAATGCCTCACAGAACAGTGCTCTCTTAACGCCGGCCGAAATTACAATCCAAGATAAACACGGCAAAAGACGTACGGTTAGGATTGGCCCCAAAACAAGCTCACATGATGTGAAGAGGGCTATTGATTTATATGATGCGGCAAAATACGAAGAGCAGAAGAAGAGAGAAATGGCTGATTGGGAGCATAGTAGAGAGGAGTTTGGCTCTCGATTACGTGTAAGTTTTATTGGTATCCTTGCCAATCGCTCTATACTGATGATCTGTACAGGATATTTTGAGGGAAAAGAATCGCATTCTAGGCTTCAGTCCGAGAGATGAATCCTTTGACGCGTGCTTCAGTGATTTGGGCTACAGCGCCCACACAACTCCAGCGCATGTTACCTATCATACATCCTTTCGCCAACCGACGCCAGACTTAAAGCTCGAGAGGGAAAATTCTCGACTTTCGGATCAACTTCGTGCTGCACAGAAACAGCTCGCAGAAGCTAGGGAACAGTACAGAACCATCGAATATGAAAACTACAAACTCATCCAAGAGAATGTAGAGATTTCTGAATCTCTGGATTCAACACAGAAGCTCCTAGAACAGATTGCAGAGAATAGAGACGAGCATGTCAAGACAAATAGAAGATATGCAGAAGAAAATAGAAAGCTGGAATCTGAACTGGAATCAGCACAGGCACGAATCCAATCACAAACACAAGCTCAGACACAATCAAAGCCACAGCCACGATCGTGGTGGTCATCAGCACGCAAAGTTACCTTCGATGATACTAGTGAGCAGTTGCGTGAGGAAGTTAGAGATTTGACTAGATCCTTGGAGAACATGAAGAGTGGTAGGGAGCCACACAATATTCTCCGAGATGTCGGAGTCGGAACTCGTCTCGAATTCTTGCAACTTTCTAAGGCGCATGAATATCCTGTCATACGCCATCATACTCATCACAGAATTGTTTCTAGCAGTTCTAACCCAGAGCTTAATATGGATCTTGGTGCTAAGAGTACAAATATTGATGGAAGTAGTCTATACGGAGGAAACATTCGAGCAGATGCGGCTCTTCTAAGTATCAACTCAAGTCATAGAGTCAAGTACGAACAAACGTTCAAAGACATTTACGGAGTTGCATTTAGCGAGGTTACAAAGGGCTGCTCTGACAAGTATGCTCCACAATGCAAGGTTACCGAGATGGCGAACTTGAGAGGAACTATGGCACACCTAGGATGTTTCACGAGACACACGCCTGATAAGGACGCCGACGATAAATTCTTGGCTTTGTCGGCATATTGTGAAAGAGAGTACGAAGATATTGATCGAAGAGCAACATCAGCTCTCCAAGCAGCCAAGACATTCAGTGGCGATCTTAGAGTTACTGAAGCTTGTAACAAGATGCGCGGAATATGTGACTCCCTTGTCGAAAGAACCAGGACTGGTGGACATCGTTCGGCGTCATTCACAGGTGGCGGTGTTGGTGGTAAATACATTTGAGAGTGGGGCGGTGGAGGACTAAGGGCTGGAACTGATGTCTGTGGTGGCAGTGGTGTTAGAAAAAGGTATACATGAAGATCAAGAAAGACGAGTAAGGATTTCACGGAGCAAAGGTCTACCATAGCATGGTGTGGGTATATACACTGTGCTAAAGTTGATTTACGGTGATGAGTATAGTTATAGGGTGGATAGCGATTAAGATAACTAGGTAGCTTCGTCTAATTCAACTAGCATAAAAGCGCATCAACGTACCATCCGACGACCTGAAAGTGAGAGTTAAATCACAGCAACCGAGCTAAGAGTCTCGATAAAAATTTGAAGATAACAAGGTGATTTTAGTTTCTGAGAAAAAAAAAATGTTTCTGGTCTACATCTTTTGCCTTCATCATACATGCATAGCTCAGCAAAATTCACCACGTCATGTCTTCAACATCAGTGCAATCCAAAGCTCCCACCAATCTAGGTATCAGAAAATGCCGATTGACAACAGTGGTTCGAATGTCAAAGAAACTTCTCGGACGAATTTGTCTTTATATTTGGAAGCTGCTGGCTGCCCCTCTTTGCAAAGTTGGAGTAAGTTTACTATCCTAATTTTCTACTCATAGCTCAATTTGAAGGAAGATGGTTGACCTATTTTTGCAACAGAACCGCATTATCTCTCGTTATCATAAAGTCGCTGATGCTGAAGCTGCAATTCGCGCTCTCAAGGCACAACTGATTGCTCAACACAACAGCTTCGAGCAGGAACACAAGACTTACAAAGATAGAGAGGCAAGACTACAACAACAGCTGGATGAGTACAAGTCCAAATTCCTGGAGCTTGAGGGGAAAATGCCATTTCTAAAGCATTTAGCAAGAGTGGGCGCTGCTGTTCGTTGCCGTGCTCTGGAGCATGCCGAGGGTCGTAGGATCTTTGGGGAAGGAAAGGATAAATTTACGAATATTCGTGGAGAGGTCGATATGAAGGTTATTAAGCAGGGAAACATCGCTTGTCACTGGGGTGATATAAAAGCGGACTATAGTCTCTATCGATTGGGACATAAGCATTTACAAACGTATGAAGCATTTTTTCACAACATTTACGGGTTTAGACTGAGCCAACCCCTTTTCATATCTTTTACCTTATCCAGTAAGGTCACAGAGGCTCTCAATCTACGAGGTACAATGTCATTTTGTTTCTCATTCACAGATTCGACTAGATCTACAAGCCACGATGACCTCTTTTCTTCCTTGTTTCGGAAGGTAGGAAATATGGTCGATGCGATGAATGCGCATAAAAACCCGAGATTGTTCGACAAAGACCTCAAGGTAGAAGATAATATGATTTTGATGCGCAAGATTGTAGATGAAGTCAGCATATTAGACAAAAGATGGAGAAACAGTCATCGAGGTATTGAATATAGCTTTTGAAAAGAAAGTCTTTCTCAATCCATCACATCTTATTTGCCCGTGTCCTTCTGCATTGATGATACTTGTGTATGTGGAACTAGCGAGTGAATAAATAAGATCCACAATGTTACCTTTCCTTTACATCACAAACAATCGAGACAATTCACTCTCAATTAATCCCCCGAAAGTGAATGGAGTAGATTAAGAATGGATTAGCTTGAGGGTGGGGATACTTATTACTTCTCGTATCTTTTAGAATCTTGAGCAGACCAACTCCAATTCCCGTTCTCGATCTTCATCTCATACTCTTCACAATGTTGGATCCCGATCTTTCTCGAGACGCCCTCGCCACCTTGAACGAAGATGAAAGTCAACTCTTGAAATTGCACGACAAATCCATCGCTATCGATATCAATCTTCTACGTACCAAGTACGAGCATCAGCAGAAGCTGAACAACTTTGCAGCCAGAAAAGATATCTGGTATGAGAGCGTTAATCAATTGTTCAAGGTAAAATCTACTACACCAAGTCATTTCGATAAATTACTAATTATTTTAAAGAGCTTCCTTGGATTACTTTCCGGTGGCCAGACTCTACTAAATTCGATGAAACTCACACATGATGATATCGAAGTAACTCTAGGAACGCAAGATGATGAGCACAGTATCAACAAAGCATGGGAAGAAAGCATGAAAAATATGGCCGAGAGTCTTATGACCGAGAAGTCTAGAAATATTTATACTTACCACGAGCAAAAAAAGGTAAGCAAGTATCATCGTGATTCTCACAGCTTAATAGATAGTAGTTGCTAACTGGTGGTCTGTGATTTAGGATATCTTGAAAAGTATCGGCATCCTTCTTGATACTCCAAATTCTATGATCTCCACTATCGACAATAACAATGAAGCTTCTACCGACCATGCTCAGTCGCTAGTCACCGCTTTGGCCGAAAATGCTTCTCTCAAATTAGAAATTGCAAAGGTCGAGTATGAATTAGGACGTGTTAGAAGCCTTGGGTACTACACTGGTGGTACCTCATCACAAGAAATCTTAACCTTGAAGCAGAAATTGGAACAAGTTGAAGATGAAAAGGCTGAACTCGTTTTGAGACTTTCTGCTACCGAGGATGAACTTGAATCGACACAGGCATCGCTTACCGATGCATACACAGAGATGGAGAGCCTGGAATACAAGCTGAATGGGAAGAATCATCCAAATCATGATCTTCGTACACTTGCCGTTAATGTCCGCCTTCGCTTTCTGAACCAAGCAACTCGACGCAACAATCGTGGCAATTATACAGCAGTACGTGGTCTTAAAGCCACCGATGTGAACGCTATTGAGCGTGGCTCAGCTGCTGTACATGGTGGAGATGTCCGAACGGATGCCTTCATGATTCGGAATAACATACACAACAAGTTCAAAGATGGCTATGAATCGCTTTTCTTACGTATTTATGGTGTCTCTGTCGACGAGGTATCTCAAGGAAGAGATGGCAAGTATCGTCTTGGCTCCAAATTTGTCGAAATAGCGGATTTAAGAGGCACAATGTCGCACTGTTTGTCGTTCTCCGAACTTTCACACGATCAGGGAATGGATTATAGGTTTGACGGTCTACGATTTGAGTGTGATTCTATTTATCAAGAATATCTTGGACAATCAGGATCGGTAGCTAAGGCACAAGATGCATTCAATAATGACCAAATCATCGATGCACACCTTATCACCATGGGAAATATAGCTGATCACATTGTTGGCCTAAAGAAGCAAAGACTCAGAGGCGAGTAAAGGTTTAAGAGATTGGTTGTAGTCTGAACAGAGAATAACTCTAATTAGTTAGCCAAATTAAGATGAAATAAGCAAGCCTGTGGAAAGCTTTCGAGCAAACACATATCTACGGTTGCATTATGGCGAAGGGCAAAATCAGAAACGATCATAACAAAGCGCCGCTCAATATTTAGGTGACTAATTGCAGGTGCTATCTGATGATACATGTCTGCTATTGAACAGTGTGCTACTGCTACCATATCCATTCCAGCTCACGGATTCAATTCTCCCTTTTTATTCTATCTAGCTACTTCCCAGCCTCCAAATTTTCAAACTTCCCATGTCTGATTTGGGCTCTAAGGTCTCTTGAAGTTCTACGGTCTTCCGAATTAACTAACCGATTAGCCTATAAGTTCGCTGTTTCCGTGAAGATTGCTTCAGGTACGGTTATAATATTGCTATCTAAGAGCCGTACTTGAAAGAATTAGGCACTCTGTAGTAGTAGACTATTCGTCCCTTAGATATTTAAGAACCATGCACGAACTAAATCTAACTTCCTATTTCTCAAACTATCTTCGACATCAGTTCATCGACATCAATACACCGGCACCAAAATATCGACATCACCACTTCGACATCGAAACTTCAATCACTAACCACCACTGAAAGTCTGCACACCATGACTTTCCTTGGTCCTTCTACCACTAAGAAAGTCAAGGGCATCAAATCCTCCATTCAAGAGGATATCAGAGTAAGTAATATCTCAACCTCGCCACAAAATCACAAATTCCCAATCTATCAGTACTGATTTTTTTCCTATCTAGCGACCACTCGCTCTCCTTAGTCAAAATGTTAACCGCTCCAAGCCTACTACCGAAAGACCCAGCTCTTACATAACCAACGAATCCAAGAAAGCCATATCCGTCTTGATAAATCAGCATGAGCAAGCCAAATCTGAGCTTGAGGACCACAAATCATCCGAGTCGAAGATGAAGAATGAAGTTGAAGAGCTGCGCACACAAATCCAAGAGCTTCATGATACCATCAAACATGATCGGGATGATCTGAGAGAATTGAATAAAATTATCGAGGGGGACATTCAAGGGACTTCTTCTGTTCCAGATACACATGAAGCCCTTCTCGAAAAGCTAATCGCTAGAGAATCTGCTATTGATCGAGAAATCCTCAATCTCCGGGATGATAAGGTTAAGTCGAGAGCTGAACTTTGGTTTGACGCTGTGGGAAGAGTAGACGATTCAATTGTACATCCGAGTCAAGCTAGCCGAGACAGAAACCTAGCCATGCGCAAGGAAATGTATGTTAGGACCAAGCGTTCTATTGCTCAAGAAACAAAAGCTGTGCTACTATCAACCAAAGAGGATATTCGAAAGCAGAAACTCGCCATAATGCGCAATGACAGTGTTGCAGGCCACGTTCCACTTGCTCCTCCTTCGCCGATTTCCATGGATAGCGATCAGGTTTCATTTGTAGCTGAAACTCCACTTGCTGATCCTTTCGTCGAGAACGCTCCACAAAATCGAGATAGCTCTTGGGCTACGATCTACGGAGACGAATCCTCGACTAGACCTAGTCGTATCTTCAGTGAATACAATCGGACAGCACAAGATAGTCATAGAACAACACTCAATAGAGAACAATCTTCCAACGTCTTGGGTGGTTTATTTGATGAAGACACGCAGACAGAAGAAGACAGTCATAGGGCAGCACTTGAGGATAACAGATCCCTCAGACTCCAAATCCAGACTACCGAGCGAAAAGTCCAAGAATGGGAGGGAAATTTTGATCGCTTCAAAATCGAAACCCAAGCCACGATTGCAAGACTAGCTTCCGACATTTCTTTCAGTGAAGAATCTCTTCAAGAATATAAGAACACTTTAGACGACGCTGATGAAATGCGCGAACAACTGGTACACGATTTAGCACAGATAGAAGGAGACAGAGACCGACTTTGTGTTATAGTTGAAGAGGTTGGCCTTCCTATCTTAGCACGAAACGCTGAAAATATGAAGCGAATCAAGCGCGATGGCGTTTTTACAACACTCGGCAACAGTCATCTTCCATTCAACGAAAGTCTTGTCCACAATGGAAATTATGCCGCAACTGGAGGTCACATTGATGCACATCTAGCCTCTATTCTTCTAAGTGAGAGGGAAATTGTGAGCGGTCCCGTCATCAGTCACGAAATGTTCCTTAACATGTATGGCGTTTCTGTTGGTGAATACCGACACTTGTACAAAGTATCTGACAGACTCGATGAGATGTTCAATATGCACGCTATGCTTGTGGAATCTGGTTCTTTTACTGAAAAGACACTTTCCGAGACTCGAGACTCTTTGTTTCAGAATTTTTTCACTCAGGGTTTGCTTCAATTCTATACGATTGACGCATCTAGCGCGGTGGAGAAAGGTCGTATTTTCGACTCGCAGGATGGGGAAGACCAAATTCAGACATTCAATGAGATGTTGGAGATAGTGCAGGATATTAAGAGAATGCAGAGGGATGCAACATTGGAACCGGTGACTGAGCAAATAGTTTCTGAGGAATCGGGTTCAGAGGAATCAAGTTCTGAGTATTCGGTTTCTGAGTCGGTTTCTGAATCCTGAGCCAACTAGCCTGCACATGTCAATGGACCCATAAATAGTTCGATTAAATTCTCTCTGATCGATTCTTTCAAACAGTAGAAACTGAGGCTTTGATCTAATTTTGAATAGGGAAATGAAGGATGAAAGCGGTATCAGCAAAATGATAAAATAAGATCTAGAATGAAAACAACACTTGACTATAATGCACATGTTAACCAGACAAGTGAAGATTTCAATTGCAACTATGGGTGACTCTTCTTCAACCTATCCAACCCGCTGAAGGTGAGACCGCAAGGCTGTTGGATTAAGTGACAGTGTGTCATGTCCTTCATGTGTAAATTACCCCGCTACTAACAATCAACCAGGAATCTATATTCACTAAGCAACGACGTAACAATAGCACTACACACTTGCCACAGAAATCCAACTAATATTCAAACAAATGAGAATTCTCAGCTTTGCTCTCAAGATTGAAAGGGCAAGCGCTTCGTCTTCGGACACAGTAGAAATTATCAGTTAGCCTCAAATGGATTTCTCGCTTAGCATTTTCTTGAATTATATCCCACACGCGACTTTGTAACCAAAACAAACTTTCCTTTCCTCCCCAACAGCTTTTGATTGCTTTTAGTTTTCTTAAGATCTTCGATTTCAAAGATCAGCGTGCCATTCCGCGATCATGCACGCTCAAGTTCCGCCACCAGGCACTACAAGTAATGCTCTCGTTGTGAAAGAACTCATTTCGAAGTTTGAAGAGCTTGGAAGAGATGTCATCGATCGCTGCGGAAGAAAGTTCAAGGAGAATATTCAAAGAACTCTTCCAGAAAAGGAGAAGGCTTTCATTGATTATCTTTCTTCGAAGTATTCTGTAAGTAAACCTCATCATTATCTTCTGTCACTTTGAGCTGTTCACTAACAATGTTGGCCAGAAAATGGTCGAAAATACCAACAAGGATATTCAAGAAATCAACACCGAACTGGGTCTCAATCTGCCACTCCAAAAACCAAAGGAGATCTCTGCCTCGCATGTTGAAGAAAACAATCTGAAATTCATTACCGCAGAAAGAGAGCGTAATGCTATCCAGAAGGAACATTTGAAAAATAATTTTGATGTAAGAATCGATATAGCTCCATGAGATGTGCAAAGCTAACTTTCACAAGGAATTCAATCTTGAAGTTACTACCATTCTTGAAATTTCCGCCACTGAGACCATATCCTCTCTCACTCTACCTACCGAGAGCCCGGATGACAAAGCCACTATTGCGCAGGTCCTTGAAGACAAGCGCGATCTCCAGAACTAACTCGAGGCCATAAAACAGACCGTGATCAAACTTGAAGCTGAAAAGGAGCAAGACAAAACAGCCATCGCTAAATGGCAGTCCCTCTATAACGAGGTCCGACAAGAAAACACCACTTTCAAAGAAAGAATGAAACAACTCAATGCAAACATCCAATACTACAAAGTGGTCGCAAACTCTTGTTCTCTTGTCCGCCAAGGATACCACAATTCTGGACACAGTTTCCGCGACGACGGCGGATTCCATGGCATCAAAGGCCGCCCTCTAGCCGTTAAAAAGGTGAACGATGTTCGTAATAATGCATGTCATCAAGGAGACGTCGAGACAGATTTCGCTCTATTCATAATCGATCCAAATCGTGCTAGTTGGAACATTGGAGGGGAGCGCTACAAGGATTTCACAAACTCGTATGGTGTCACTCCAGACAAATGGGCGAAGATTATCTCACTTTCCAAAGCTAGCCCCGATCCAGTTCTCGTCGAAGTTCTCAACATGCACTCGACAATGCATCGATGTTACTCGAACATGGAATTCACCCACAGCCCCAAGAATGATGAAACTTTCAATGGCCTCTTCGAAAAGCTTTTCAAGATATGCAAGGATATGTTGGCAACTGCAAACTCATCCCTATCGACCAAAATATACGAAAACCTTGTCTTCATTGTCAAGCAAGCAAAGAATGATCGCAGTGCAATGAGGAGAATAGTTTGGGAAACTGTTAAATGCGAGAAAGCTCGGTGCTCCAAACGATCCCGATTGATTTCGCCATGAAATCTTCCAAGAAGAAGTCAATGCAACACGGAAAGCTTTGAGTCAGCGAAGGCACAAGAATCCTGGTGGTAGAAGTTGCTCGATACATTCCTAGAGTGCTTTTTCCTTTTGATCAAATGAATAGTCCTTGGTTCCGAGGAACCAAACCATTCATAGCAGCCAGCATACAGACGGCATGCGTTTTGCCACATTAGATTGTGCAAAATTAGTTTAATAAGAAATTATTTTACTTATAAAAAACGTCACATTTATTCATAATGAACCTGCGAAATCTTAGAAAACACCTGTCTTTCAAACAAACATACATACATACATACATACATACATACATACATACATGCATGAACTGTGAATACTACCACAGCCGTGGACCTAGGATCTCTAGTACCTCAGACCAGATCTGCCTTCAGGTGCGCAGAAAAAAAGCGATTCTTCTATCTACCCATTCACACACCGACTCCCCATACATCCACTCATATTCTCACCCTCTCCCCATCCCGTCCTGTCCCCAATTTCTCATTCATACCTATCCCATACCTACCCCATACCTGTCTACCTATTACCCACCCGTAACACCCATCTCTAGTAGCCGACGATAAACATATTTCAACAACCTGACCCAGCCCAATTTAACTTTCCCCCCTTACTCTCGTTTGTGATTACAACAAATAAGCACATTTTATCGATAGGCTCGCTTTGCTTTCAATTGCTCACGCTTGACTGATGAATAATAAACTTCCTGTTGATGGATAGATAAATAGATAGATAACATGCAGAGGGATAGCTTTCATTATATTCTCATAATCACGAATACGAATCAAGATCGTATATG